GGAGATTAAAATCGGCTGGCTGCCAGTGCACCAACCAGGGCCGTACCCAGAAAAAAATTTCGGGGGGGGGGGGGGGGGGGGGGGGTCAGAACCCCTATCCCCCCCCCCCCCCCCCCCCCCTGGTTACGGCCCTGTCAGCATCGCCCTGGGGCTCTAGAACTCGTCAAACACAAAGTTTGGGCCGAAGTTCACGCAGCGCACCGATTGGACTATCTCGACGATGACTTGGCGCTTTTGTCGGCGACGTTCAATCGGCGCGCATCGCAAAAATTCGGCTCCAGCTTTGTGTTTGTCGAGCTTAGGGCTCCTGGTGGCAACGTGTCGACTACTTTGTTCGTTTCTACAGCCGCCGTCGCACTGTGTTCGCTGCACGCGTAATGGCACGAGTATCGGCGGACACGACCCAAGCACGCTCGAAGCTCGGGAACTTCGTGCATGCTCGAACACGTCTGCTTACAAGACTGTCTTGTATGTGATGTAGTAGCAGTGTGACCGAGGCACCAAAAGCGCCTTCTGGTAAAGGGGTAGATCACGTCGTGTAAAATCCGCGACTGCTGCGTCAGAAAAGGGAACTTCCATCTCAAACTCAGCCAACTCGCTTATTTCTCTCGCTCCTTGTATATCCGCATACGGTCGCTAACGGCCTTCTTTTCCTCATCACAGTCTCGGGTTTTGCGCGCTACGATTAATTACCAACAGCTCGCCCGCGCACTCGCTGTCTTTTCTTCGTAAAGTGATGGTTGGTGGAAAACACACGTTCAAGTGCTGCCGTCCCACCGGAAGCTCTGCGATTACACATGCGGCAGATTACGGCCGCCATTGCTGACCTCTTGTCTTACCGAGATACCGAGCCACTGAAACGGGCGTCGACGAGTCTCCACAAAGGTCAATGATAGGGAGAGTGACTCAATAGAATCTATGATGGTGATAACCTGGCCTGTCATGCTAATAATAAAGTGAAGGAAACGGAATGAGAGGAAACAAAAACTGAAGGTCGGTTATGGCGGCGCCGGTGCACAGCTTCTGCGAAGCGTATTAACGTCGTGAAAAAGAATAACACATGAAGTGTCGTGTTTTTCAGTCTGGCATTAGAGAGTTTTAGTAGATCGTTTTTTCGTCCCGATAACGATAAGATGCATGCCCAAGGCCGCCGGAAGGGAGAGGAGGTATCGTTATCGGGGCGAAAAAACGATCTGCTAAAACTAGGCCTTCTGCGAACTCAAGAAGAATTAATAATCACATATCTGCAGTTCTTTAGAAGCCCAGACTCAACCCGGGCGACGGAAACGATTTTACCAGTGCGTGACGGCGGCACTCAGTTAGTCGAACGACGTTTCAGCGAACGCCGACTTTTTTTTATCGAAAGACACTTTAGCCAATAGTCGACCGCCGCGAAGCGGCGTTTACGGTTAGGCCAAGTGGGTCAACATTTTTGTAATGAGCGCAGACTGCCGGCCGCGAACGCAGGGGGGTAACACGCGGCCCGTTGTTCGCTAGAACGTCGATTTTTCGCTCAAATGGCATTGTTTGCTAAAACGTCATTCGCTTATGTGATATGGACCCGAGAGTAGAAAGTTTTAGCAGATCGTTCCGATAACTTCTATAACGATAAATATACGAGACATGCGCGAAGGCACCGGCAGAGTGTTGGGTATCGTTACCTGAACGATCTGCTATAACTGCTAGAAATCCTTAGTAGTTTTTCTCGATTTCAATAAAAACATTTTGATTTTTGCGGAAAACTTGTTTATACAATGGCTTGTTTTGAAGTTTAATGGGCAAGCGTTGCCGATGTTTACACAGTATAAAAGCTAGCGTATAATTTTTTTAATTATTTAGGTCGCTCATTAAAAAAAAAACACTGAAAATAATTTTTTTTTAAAATTTGGTTGGGACACGTTTTTGCAAAAAAAAAATAATTTTACGCGTAAAAAAAAATTTTTAGAACAATATCGACGGCGCGAGATTTATTTTAAATTCTGCGCGCAAAGTCCATGACGTCACGGAATGGTCATACACTCTTTCCACTTCAACGTGATGGCGAAGCCGATCGCCGATCCACCTCTCTTCCACGCGCTCGAAATGCCGAGAGAGAAAACAAGGGGAAAGGAGGTGACTATCGAATAAATTGCGTCTCGCGCCCTCAATATTGCCCTAATTTTTTTTCGCCTAAAATTTGTTCTTAGGCACGCGTGTCCCAACCAAACAGCTGAAAAAAAACTTTTTTTAGTGACCATTTAAGATGGTAAAGCAATTTTCCGCCAGGCAGCTCCAGCTCGTTTTCTATTTTTATTTACGAGCGTGTTTACGAGCGTGTCACGTGCGTTAAGTCGAATTTTCGAACTTTCGTCGAAAACCTGAACCTGGTCAAACTCGAACCTTGGCAGACGCGTGCTCCGCCAGGTGAGACCTGTCAGTGCATGTGCCGCGTGTCGCAGAACCTAGTGCGGATATGCAAGACATCGTATAAACGACGGCGCTCTGGTTTTCTTGGTTGTCTCGTTTCAAGAGTGCCGCATAACTTCCGAGCAGTAACGGCTGTCATCTGGGACGCTCGGGACGTGCTTTGTGCGAGCCCGGTCGTCTGTCGTCGGCATCCGGCAGGCAAGCTTTCTCAATTAGCGGACGACGGGCGAGCCCGACTCTGGCGATATCGAAACCAGACGCTGCCGCGACGCCGTCTTCTGAAGAAACGAAACGCAGGAAGGGGCAATGCGAGCGCAGAGACCGGGCAACTGCTAATGCCATATCCTCTTCCGCCCCGCGTTCTATATTAGTAACCCCGCCTCATCGTATGCAGCGAGTCAGCGACGCCCTTCCCGTTGCCTTGTCGTGCACTTGGCATTGAAACGGGTACCCGTACCGCGCGGCACTGGGCAAGTCCGCTTTTGAGCCTCAAAGCGATTTTTTTTAAACTATAAAATATATTCCTACTGTCTTCACCTCAACATTTGCCATAAAAAAAATAGACGTGTGAAATTTTTTGTAATGCCGAATTAGAGCGAAGCTCTTAGAAAGGGAGAGTATGAGCGTCACGTGTGACGTCACGAGGATAAAATTTTACCGATAAATTTTGCAAAATTTTTTTTTGCTCAATTAGATTTTTTGTTAAATTTTGCAGAAAATTTTGCTCCTGAACTAAATTTTTCCACTAAATTTAGCGGGAAAATTTCTCTGCCAAATTTTACCATCGTGACGTCACACGTGATGCCACTCAACCCGGGAAAATTTTTCCTGCTAAATTTAGTGGAAAAATTTTTCCCGCTAAATTTATTGGAAAACATTTTCCCACTAAATTTAGCTGGGAAATTTTCCCGCTAAATTTCCCCACTGAATTTATCGAAAAAATTTCTCCTCTACATTTAGCGAGAAAATTTTCTCGCTGTATTAACCAAGAAAATTTTACCCTCGTGACGTCACGTGTGACGTCATTATGGGAAACGTCCCATAATGCAACGTGGGGTTGTGCTGATGGTGACGCCGCTCAAGCTGGAAACGGGCGCCTAAGAGCTTCGCTCTAAAAGCGATAAAACTGACCAACTTGACGGCTTGAAACTTAGAAAGAACTCCCGTCATATTTCTGCCAGCCGGGAAGCCCTGGTGGGCTTAGTTACGGCTTCATTGCATAGTTGTTCTTCGTCAGCTGTATGTGTATGCTGATGCATTTTCCTGCCATCTTTTAGCTGCTGATATAAAGCTTTGTGGGCTTCTGCCTTTTGACTGCTTTGGACTTTTATCTATGCAGATCTCAATGAGCCAGTAAATGCTTTTGACTGTGGTGCTCAGTTCTACTTCAGCTTGCACCTGTAACCTTCAGTGAGTTCCATGCAAGAGTGCAATGAACTGTGGTTCTTCTCTGGCCTTGCAATGTGTGGCAGATTACTGTTGCTTGCAATACTTTTCTTTCACGGTGATTTCCAGCAATCCCTGAACAGTCAATTTTTTTTTTTATTAATTACAGAGGCGCTTGAGAAAAATTTGATTGCGGATGTCTTCAAGTTCATTATGCCACCAAAGGGTGGACCAGATGGTCAGTTAAAATATGTTTATATTAAATTTGGCTGCACTGAGTTTTAAAAAATTCCTTTTAGTTTCCACCTAATACTGTTAAATATTTAACATAGAAATAATTCAAGAATCTTAGGATGCCAAAATGTAATCTATAAAGGAAAGCAAGGTTTATGTAAATCTTTGTAAGAATATTCTTAACCATTCATAAGAAACTTGCTTCGAACCTAAAATAATCTTTGGGTGAATGGCTCACCCCAACTTGGAAGACACTTGAAGCAGCCCGGCCCAGGACAGCTTATTCCAATTTTTTGTCTGTCCTTGAACATGTTGTTCGTAACATCTTGCAACTTTTCAAGCCTTAAAAATCTATACTCGGCGTGAAACTATATGGTGCTACGTTGCCAAGGCTAGCGTTGCTTTTGCAGTTTTTCAATTCTATTGAAGCTAGTTGTGTGAGCACATGGAAATGAGACACAAGAGGCTCTCACAGCAGTGCGGGGCTACAGCATTGCAGAAGCTGCTCTAGCCATGGCAGTGCAGCACAAAATGGTTGACGCCAAGTATAAAAGGTTAATTTCCCTCAGACGTTTCCTCTTTCGAGACTTGCATTCCCCAAGACCTCCTAGATAATGAGACCGTAGCACTGGATTTTCTTTGTCACCCACCAAAGGATAGCACAGGCAGGTTAGATCTCAGCTGATTGCTGACTCAGCACTGTGTCCATCTGTCCCCTGTGATGGCCTCCAGGGGGTCACTCAGAAAACCCATTGCTATGGCTTTGTTGTCCCTTCAGCCTATTGGTTTGTCAAACTGCTTTATAAATCTTTCGCATCAAGTCGTAAAATCTCGCCGGAAGTGGGTCTTGGTAGTGCTCTTAGACAGAATTTAAATGTTTTGTGGAGGCCGTGGGAGTGAATTTTGTACCGTAGAGGCCTTGCCTTAACAGAATCGATTCTCACCTTGGTTTGGCAATTTACCTTTCAGGGCCTAGATGGCGGCAGCCCCGGTGTGGCATCTTGTGGCAGGGCTGGGGCACCGACCTTTGGTGTGGGTTCGGACCCGGTCCTGGTGTCCACTCCTAGGCTGGACGGCTACCGCTTCTCCATGGTCAACCTTGAGGGTATGCTAGAGCCTCTGTTGAACTTTTGTCTTTGGAGTGCACGTTTTCTTCTTGAGGACTTTAGTCATTCATCACATACACACACTTGTTGAACTGTTTTGTGTGAATCTTCAGATCTAGTTCTTTGAAGAAACTACAAAAAGGATGACTCTCAATTCTCGGACATCAACAGGCTCATCTCCTAGGGGACAGAGTAACTTATATATGCTCAATATTACCCGTTAGAGATTCTTCATTGAATGCTTTCCTGTTTGTCTTCTAGTTTTTCTTCTTTGGGGGAGAAGGTAAAGTTCATATTAATCAAAGCACCCCATTTCACTGCTTTGGCAAACATAAAAAGTTTGAGAGAAAAAGATGTACACTTATTATGTTTTTCTACCTCTTATCAATTGTCATTTCTGTCACTCTCCAGGAATCTTATGCGCAAGGTTCCTGAAGAATTTTTAACTCACCCTAAAGCTGAATCAGTGTGTCTAGCGACCGAGAAAACCGGGAATTGTCAGGGAAATTTTAATTGTCCGGGAAAAATCAGGGAATCGTCAAAAAGCGAGCCCAGTCAGGGAAAATGGGCCGGAAATGCCATCGAGTGGCCTGAGCAAAGATTTCATGACTTGGGGGCAGAAAAATAGGGAAGAAATTCTGCTTAGAGTGGATCGCGGGCTCTGCTCACCCGGTGTAGAGTGTGCTACTCGATGCAAAGCGAATAGCCGACAAATCCAGCTTAAGCCTTGGATTGGATTGAATTGGATTGAGGGCACGACACTAGGCTAGATCCAGTTAGAGCTATTAGATTTAGTAACAAATTTAAAGCCGCAGACCTCAATTTAATTCAAGCCTTAAGCCGAAAGTATCCAAAAGTGTGCTTCTGGCGGCCATGCTGGCCACGCTGCCATTCGGTTATTGACGTGTGTGGTTGAGTGTCATGTTTTCATTGTGTTTCTGGAAGTGGCCTCTTCACTGAAGATGTCGGCGCCAAGAAAGTGCTTGTTTAATCCGGACTGGACAAACCCGAATATTTTGGAATATGCAAGTTTGGAATATGCCCGTGCAAAATGATCCTCACAGTGCTTAAAGGGGCCCTGCAAGGACTTTTTTACTTGTTTTTAATTTGCACCCAACCTCAGCGCACTGGACGTAGTAACTCAATGAAATTTTTCTTTTCTCGAGTTTCGCTTTATTTTAAAAGTTATAGGCAAATTAGAATTACAAGTACAAGTAAAAAATAACCTCCTTCATGACATCCTTGGTTGCTCTAGTGGCCGTGAACTAGACGAGGGTAGTGAGCTCAGCGAGCGTTCACGGCTGCTGTACTCCGTGTCGACGGCTCGAGAGGGCGCCACTAAAGCGCGTTCTGAATAGACTGTATGAAGCGGGCAGCCAGGGCAGCTCGCATTGCATTTGCTGCGCGATTAAACACTAATTTGGCATGACACTTCATTGGCCACGAACGACGGTAAACACGAGGTAAAGATCAGTTCAGAACGGGAGCCACTTTGCGCTGCCATATTTCCAAAGGGCTAAACCGCAAGCCAAAGCTGCTTGCTGAAGGCCTTGGGAACGCTCGGAACCGGTCGGATTCTCCAGTCCGTACAACCGCTGCATACATCCGGGACCTTTCTACGCTCGCCGCTCGTTGGCGCCTGATCCCACTACACCTTTGTAGTATGGGCCGCCTTTCCCACCGCTTGGTGGTGGCTATGTCGACGGGTTATTTCTTGTTTCCGTACTTTCTAAACTGCATTTGTTTCTTTTCTGATCTAAAATAGTGAACAAAAACTACTTTTATAAATACTTGAAACGTTTTGCGCCACTTACATTTTGTATTTCGAGAAAAAATAAGCTTTTAGCGGCTCCGGCCAGTAGTAAGCCCAGGACGTAAGACGTCACAATTCGCGCGCTTTCGGCACCGTGGATCACCCCCCTAGGTGGAGGAGGTTTCCACGTCGTCCGGTTAAGATATGACGCACTAATATTTAGTTACTCTCTCCGTGCCCGCTGGCTTGCCCGAACCCCAAGGAACGTGGAAACCGCAAAAAAGGTAGATGATTAAATATGATTGCAGGGCCCCTTTAATGCTCAATGCCTTGTGTTGTAATAGTCTTATATATTTAATCGTCTCAACAGTTTTCAGGGACTTTCTCCTGAAATCGTCAGGGAAAACCTAGAAAAGTCAGGGAATTTCAAAAAAATAATTTGTTAGACACCCTGACAATATGCTTCGACAGCAACTGTGCACACAGACCACATAGCCCCAGTGACACCCAAACAACATTCGTGGGACGTTAGGGCATCGAGGAGAATATCTTCCATTAGGGTGTAGTCATTACTGCAACTTTCCAACTACACCCTACAAATGTCACAACATTGTGAGGTCGCCCACACGACATTCATGGGACATTAATTGGGGCATCCCGAAGACGTCTGCAGGGTAACTCCTTTGGTTGTGGTGTAGTCACTGCTGCAACATTCTCACTACACCCTAACAATGTCTCAATGTTGTGACATCATAACAACATCACAACATTATGACACTGGCACAACATTGTCGCAATGTTGTGTCAATTGTGATATCACAATGCTGTAATACTGCAACAATGTTGTCAGAATGTTGTGACATTGTAACAGTGTCGTCACAATGCTGTGATATAGTCACAGCAATGCCACAACATTGTGACATAGTAACAACGTTGTCACAACATTATTACGAAGTGTCAACAATCGCGCCGATGCAGAGAGCCAAGACGTGGAACTGGACGCCATCCTGGGTGAACTGTGTGCCCTGGAGACCCAGTTTGAGCGTGAGATCAACCAGAAGGGCCACTCGAGGACCTACAATGGCAGTGTTGCCAGCACCATGGCCGTCACGCTGAACCTGGGCCCCAGCACGCCGACGGCGGTGGCAGTGCCGTCCTCGGCAACCACCGCCACGTCTCCGTTCAGCTCTGGCCGATCAAGCCAGCGTTCCTCTGGCCACAGTCGCTCCAGTTCTTCCAGTGGGGGAAGGTCCAAGCTGGACTTGGGGCCCTTCCAGGTGAGTGCACCTTGGCAGGCTTTCTGTTCATTCGTCTATTTTAAAACAGGAGTTTTTAGTTACGCATAATAACTGAATTATCGGAATGTGAAAAATTTGCTCTTCCCGTCATCTTATTTTACCGTCTCTAAATTCAGAATAGCTATTGACAAATTGGAAAATTGAGGTGATGCCAAAACCAACGTTCAAATTTTCCTGCACTCTCCAGTGGGGTGGCGTCACATGTCGTAATACTTGCATGCGGCCTAAAAAACGCAGCATCTTGCACATTTTTTTTTTTTTTTCGTTTTGCTGGAGAGAGCTTTTTTAGCATTCATTTCACATTGTCAAGGTTCTTGTAACCCATTGGGAACAAGTCACACGGCACAAATTACATCTGTCAGTATGTTTTCAGTGTTGCCAGCAGATAGCCTCTCAGTAAAAAAAAAGAACAGTGAGAACGAAATTTGAAAATTAATTAACTTTGGGGAAAAAAAACACTTTTTTCCTAGAATTTGGGTTACTCATTCAGCATGTCAATTGATATGTTCAGTCAATTTTGTGACTTGTGAACGACCACTAAAATTTCGCCGAAATCTCCGAGGATAGTTTTATGCGGCTACATGACAGACCGTCAGGGAAAGTTTAAGATGGATTTCAGAGGAAAATTTATCTACCAGAGAACATGTGAAGAAAGAAGGAAATTCCAAATATTTTTCGACAAGATCCAAAATCAGGACCCCAAGATTTTGAGCCCGGCTCTACCTCTGTGCCAAGAGCGAGACTTCTGAAGCGACAGCTACCTTGCTGTGCCAAGGGCAGGAAGCACGGGAAGCGTGGGGGTAATTGTTGGACTATGTCATATGATTAGAGCCCTGCATATTCACGGATTACCAGCAAATCATCCACGGATATCTGCAGTAAGCGGGCAGATGCGGATAAATATTAATTGGATTTGGCGAATTGCGGATTGAATGTGGATGCCAGGGGCTGCGGATGTAGATTGGATGAAAACATTAGCAGGTGCGGTTCTTCATTTTTGCCGAGGTAGCCAAAAAACTTGCGCGACCGCAGATTGTAGAATGAATAAGTGATGAATAGTATGAGGAATCAATACTTTGAAGTACATCATTGAATGTTTTTTGGGAAAAAATTACTCTCTTAGAAAAGAGGTGCCAACTAAGGAGAAAAATTGTTCTTTACACCAAGAAAGACCCGATTCTCACCAAAGATCGCTGTAGAGCATCCTATGTTGCCGTAAATGCTGTCCCTAGAAGTAAAGAATGCAGGGGCATCAATCGTCCCGGGAAGGCGTGTTCTTGTTTGATAGGGAAAGAGCAAAAGACCTTCTTCGGACAAAGAAAAGTCCAAACTTACAAGCCACGAGAAAGTAGAAGAGGCCTCTTAACCCCTTTAACGTGTGTGTCCATTTTTTTCTCTACATTTGATTCAGAGCATGCAGTTGCAGGTTAGTGCTGAGAACTGAAACCGATAGAAGGTGTTGCCATCATTGAATACTGGGATATTTTCCCATAGTGTACTAGCATCTTACCACATATATAGGAGCACTACATCATTGCGGTGAGTGATCGCCTTTCTTTTCCCACGTTTTCGTTGTTTGACCTAAACAAAACGACTCATTGCTATTAGTCTGTCCTTTGTTGATTTTCACATTTTAAACATATGTGTCAGCGAATGTTACAAAGTAAAATTAAAACAAATATTAAAACTTTGTTTCTTTTGAGTGCATCTTCTGGGCAGTGTCGCAGTCTCCCAAGACAACCTCATAACTGCGATCTTCTTTCCAGCCATGCAAAGTGTCTATGGATAGATTATAGTTTGGAATTAAGAACAGCGCGAAAGGCGAGAACCAGACAAAGAAGTAACACGGATGCAGCACTGACTTACAACCGAGTTTATTGATCACAAAATCGCAATATATATGCTTGCGTTGTCATGAACTCCAAAGTATTTACCAACTCGCCCAAGCCTCAACTTTAGCATAGAACACGGGTGGCCAGGCTGACTCGGCCTAAGAGTTGCATAAAAAACCATGAAAATTCCAAGAGCCGCAGCGGAGGGGTACTCTTGTTCAGAGCAATCTATCCGAGTCAAAGCAGTCCATCTGTACATAAGGTAGTAGTAGCACAAGACTGCCAAACCGCAACCTGTCTTTCGATTTAAAATGTGTTTCATTCCTCTTCTTGGGGAACTGCTCGTGTAACCGGGAGGGAGGCGGGGGAGTGTGGAGGGGTAGGGGAGGGATCTGCGAGCCGCACTTTAACACACAAAGAGCCGCATGCGGCCGCAGCTTGGCCACCTCTGGCATAGAATATAGCTCATGAAAATATGAAACAAAGTATGATAAAATTACTTTCACCGTATTCTGAATCGAAGAGTTCTCTGTACAAAGATAAGCAAATGGTGTATAAGGTATTATCCAGATGCTTTTCTTTTCTTTTATTCATGCTTTATTTTATGATGTAAAAGAGGTGTGCGGATTGCGTGTCGGATGCGGTTTCGAATTTGACGGATGTGGTTCGGATGCAAATGACCAAACTGTTATTCACACAGGGCTCTACATATGATCCTATCACATGATTTGTTGTCACAAAAAAGACTAGAAAGAACTGTGGAGAAGTGGAGAAGCATATAGATGACCACAGGACAAAATTATTAGATAATATCAGGTGATTTGATGTCATGGGAAGAATAAAAACTTGTGGTATATAACTGAAGAGAAAAAAAAGAAAAAGAAATAGGTTCAAAACCACATAAATATCCCACGGAATGCCGCAGAATAGCACTTTGTGTATACCAACTGGATTTGTGGGAGCAATTGGTGAATCAAGCAATTTGAATTTCATTTTCTGAGAATTGGTTGATTGTGATCTGGAGGAAGGTTGACCCTGCCCAGATCTGTCGCAGAACTGACTGTCTAAAAAATTGGGTTGTGTATGTTTACACAACCTGAAGTTAGTCTGCCTCAATGGGCTACTTGTGTCTCAGCTGTAGATGAGCATTTTAGCCTGTGCGGTACAACCGCTAGCCGGGGGTCTTTAACGTGCACCACGCAGTAGTGATACATGACCGCATGCCGGTACGATGCTCATCCAGATCGAAACGGGCAGGGGTGGGGATTGAGCCCAGGATCCCTGGGTTCTGCAGCGCGAGTTTTCGCTCCACGTACTTCGAGATGGTGTACGCTAGACCACTCATCTACCAATCCCCCTTGACCATCTAAAATGTAACTCTCCCCTGCCTCTTGTGTGACTGATTCGGTCAGTTTCTTGATCAAAGTGTTATAAACACTCTAATACCTTTCTTATGCCTTACTGCGAGACTGCTTGTTTAAAATATGTTTTTAAACAAACATCACAGATCTCTCAGTCGTTTGATTACTTTAGTCAGCAGCGTCACTTTTCAGGTTCACTTTTCCTGCTCTCATTTTTGTTCTTTTGACTTAGAGTTGGACTCATTATTAGAAGTACATGCCGGCTATTGCCTTGGCTTCCAGATAGCAGATGGCAGTGTCGAAAGGGCACATACATTGTTGCCGGGTTAGAGTTTTAAAACACAAAACCTTCCACGGAATGACTATTTGATGTGTTACTGTCATTTCTAGTAAAATGCTCATGAGCAGTCGGCAAGAGTCCTTGAATGTACTTTTATGCACAATCACACTGGTAAATAAGAAAACCATAGAGACAGGTGTTTCAACCAAATATTGCAACATTGGAGTGTTGGCGATTGTCTCTACCACAGGTTCAGTGCTGCACTTCACAATTCGGAGCCAAAATCTTGTTGCCTCTAATGATTACATTGACATTAATGCTTTCAGGATGCATCTGGAGTCTCGAACGGCGCGCCGAGGACAGAGAGCCCGGACAACGACTCGGCATTCTCCGACAATGTGTCCATGCTCTCCTCGGAGTCGTCTGCTTCGTCGGGGGGTGGAGGCAACGCCACACGGTCCTCGTCTGCTCCAGAAGGCTCTTCGTCGAACCAGGGACCTTCGCTCGTCAAGGCTGATGTTGGCAGCACGGGGGGCACTGCACTTGCCTCTTCGCCAACCCAGGTACATACCCGATTCGTTTGTGTGCCTGGCTCGTGCAAGGTACACTCTGCGTCTGTGCCGTATTCATCCCCCACTCAGTGTTGCTTGCAAACAATCCTGCGCTTGCCAAGCCTGCTTGCTCGAAGTTGGGTTTTGATTGTTGCGGTAAAAATATGAACCTACTGCAAGCTCCATTTGAATGTCCTTGCATGTTAAGCCGGCTTACATGAACCAATAGTTCACAGATTTTTAATGTGTTAGCATTAGAACGCTCGTTTTTGACGAAAACCTGGTGGTGTCTTTTGTTTGTCAGCTACAGAGAGAGAGAGAGAGAGAAGGAAGGGGGGAGGGTGATGCGTATGACACTTACATTGGTCCAAAGTGCTGATGTCGGCATGCTTCAACCTTTCCCCCTCCTCCTTCCTCTCTCCTTGTAGCGGACAAACTGAAAGACATTGCTGGGTTTTCCTCAAAAAGAGCTTTTTGGTTTTCGTGAAAGTCACGTGCACAGCTGGTGCGGAGCCAGAGAGAAGGAGGCGCCGCGCAACACCCCCTGATAACAGAGCCTTAGTGCTGAATAAGATTGCGTCATCAGAGAAAGCCAACGTTGGACACATATTGGAAACATGTGCCGCGTCATGCTCGGCTTCATGTCAAGTTTGAACTTTGAGCCAAACGTTGACGTAATCGTTGTGTCCAACCTGAGCCCAGCGTTGGCCTTCTCTAATGACGCCATCTCATTCAGCACTAGGGATTTGTTGTCTAGAAAATGTCACGCCGCGACACGGTGCAATGGGTGTGCAGTGGCGTCAGTAGGGTCCAGGATGGCAGCCCGCTGCGACCTCCCCACCCCACCCTTGTGATGCCACTGTGCGCACCAGCATAGTTGCCGGTCTGCCGTCGCCAGTTTTTCCTCACTCTGGGTTTCTGTGGTGGTGATGCATGGGCTGTGATGTGCGAGTGTAGTTAAAACAATGAATGCAGTTCCTTCCACGAGTGGTATGAATGCGGTTCTTTCTAGTAGTGATATGAATGGCCGTATCCAAGAGCGGCGACATACTCTGACTGGCAGGTAGTACAGAAAAGGGGGCGAAAGAATTACAGCACGATCCATTGGTGGATTCTTAGGGAATCCATTGGCGTCGCATGACCCTTAAAAGACGCCACACACATCCCCTCTTGGGAAACGCTAATGCTGACCCCATAGCGGGGCCAAAAAAAGGCAGCTACAAATAGAGGGAGCTAAAGAGAAAGCCATGCCAAAATAAAAAAGTAAGGGGTCAGCATTAGCGTTTCCCATAAGGGGACGTGTGTGTCTTTTCCAAGGGTCATGCTAACGCATCTTAAGAATCCACCAATGGATCTTCCTGTAACTTTTTAGTTCTGCTTTAGTGATGTTCAAAATTTACACAGAAGGAAGTGCTATCAGGCTATCATTTTTTTTTATCTATTTCAATACTGGAATAATATGCAGTATGTTCAAACAGTTCAGTGTGAAATGTTTGAACTGACAGGGAATTTTTCTAGGCTTGAATAGTATGGTTTCATAAATACCCAAAAAATGCAAATCCGTGTTGACTTTCTGTCGTTCCTTCGTTCGGCAATTCGTATACATTGTACAGGTATTTTCATGCTGCTTTTAAACTTGCCTAATGAATCTAGACACCCGGAAGCTGCACACTTGGCGAAAAAGTTTTGGGCCCTCAATTGTTGCGGAACATTTCTTTTGCACTTTTCTACTGAGACGATCACAACCTTTGCATGACTTTCTCACATTTTTTAAGTTTACAGCTCAAGTCTAGTTTTTTTTTGTTGCACAATTATAGCAGTTTTCTTCTGAACAGATGTTAAATCCGTGCATGCTTCACAATGCTTGTTTCACAATCTGGATCATGCATTCATCTTTCTTACGGAATTATATAAATACACTTATCTATACTTTGTTTCGACTTCGGTCCGAGCGCGGCCGATGTTATGAGCAGAAGGGCCAATCAAACAGCGCAAAAAGCGAAACGTCATGGCCTGGGGCCCTAAGCTGGACGCTTGGCGAAAACGACAGCGAGAAATTTGGCGGCCGCGATTGGCCAACGCCACACTTGACCTTGACGCCGGCCAATCATAGCTGCCCAATTTCGCGCCGACTTTTCCGCCAAGTGTCTAGATTAGGGCCCCTGCTCTCTGCAGTTGATAGGACCAGCCGGTATTCGCCGGTATTCGCCGTGTCGCTGTGCACGCTCCTCCGCAGGCTAGTCCTATCAAGAACAGATAGGCACGGCATGACGCTGCACTTTTTGAGGTGTTTGATTGGCCCTTTGGCTCATAACATCGGCGGCGCTCGGACCGAAGCTGAAACAAAGTATAGTTGCTACTGTAATATGTTTTGCTGTGTTCTTTTATGTGAGTTCTTGAAATTTTATGAGCACATGCTCATTTTGCCACTCTCCGATTTATGCTTAAAGTATGGGACAATCTTTTCAAAGTTCAAATCAATTGTTAATGCCATTCCTGACTGCATTTTATACTTATGCTACACACACAACACATTCAGGCACTTTTCTCCTTCAAATGGATTGTATGAGTGAGCAATTTGTTTATCACTCTGAAATCCTTAGACCAAATATTTTATAATTTAGTTGCATGGACACTGTGAGCATTGATTCTAGACTTGTAGTGTTGCAGGTTTCGTGTTGTAGCGTCTAGTTCATAAAGAAAAGCAGCTTCATTTTTTGTTATATGCCTAGTTCACACGACTTTACGATTAAAGCCATCTGGTTCTATGACAGCTCTTTTGAAAATGTTTCACGTGTTCTGCACATCAGTGCGCATTTTCTTGGGTTACTGTCCCTAGTTTCGCATGTTCTAGCTGCTTCCCTATGGACCATCTTTTTAATTTTTCAAATGTATGTTGTTGTAACCAAGGGCAGGCGGGAATAATGACGTGTCCCTTTCGGTTGCTCTACCTTCGGTGGTGGGCAGTTTCCATGATGTTAGTTTCTGTGCAAAAAGTTTGTTGCACATTCAATGCTCACATGCAGCGAGAAAGCACGCAGCTAGATGTGAACTGGTTTACTGAAAGTGACATGCCATTGTTCCTACCTTTCCTACTTATATTGCTTCTTCTTTTCACTGCTTGTGGTGTTGCAACAGCACTGCTGTGTTTGCGTATTTGGTGTGTCCTGCACAGTGCACCCTTTGCATGCTTGTGTTTGTGCTTGCACTTGCAGCTTTTAGAGGCCATCAATGCCAAGCTGCGGTCAATCCAGGCAGGCATTGAGTTGGACACTACGCCGCCTGTGAGTGGCACCCTTGGCCCCCTGTCTCTCCCGACCCTTTCCCCGCTTCCGTCCTTATTTGACCGCTTCCCTTTGTATGGGCCAGGACTGCACGATAAGCTTTTCGGTTGGTCAACCAGTACTCTATAGTATTTCGTTCCACATTACAATGTATGGGATGCTTCGAGCCATCGAAGCCAATCCCATGAATGTGAATGTCCCACGACCTATGGAAAGGGTGCAGCGGCAGGCGGTGCAGGTAGTCGTGTGATGCGTTTGCACCACTGACTTGGCTTGGGTGACTCGTAGCATCCACTGCAGTCCATCGTAAGGTGAAACGGAGGAGAGTCTCACAAGTGAGGCTCACTTGCATGTTGCCAAAGTGGCACTTTCAGTTACGGCTCTGAACCAACCTACGTGTATAGTTTCCATTTCTGCAGGCCGTATGGTACATTGAAACTGCAGAGTGTTTCACGTGGCTGCAGTGTATGTGAAGCCTCTATCCCTATGATGCACCCTAAAGGAATCTAGACCGGATGTAAATTTGAATGGGATTGCTCATCTTGCTTTCTATAAATGCAGTCATTCGTCCACCGATTTTTAGTGTATCCTCCAAATAGCGCTTTACTGGCCCTTTCCCATTGCTCAGCTGAAGCTGAGATGCTTTCATTTTACCGGTACCAATCCCACGTCTGACACGGTCTAGATTTGTAGCATCATCTCGTGGCATTCAGCCAAAACCCGTGTCAAAATTAAGTGTAAGAACCACTGTTTGGTTCTGTCATTATTGTATGGTATTCAGAAAAACAAGATTGATATAGGAGACTACTAGGTACTATTGACCTTGTATGAGTCTGGAAGGCACCAAAAGCATCATTCAGCATCATAGAAATGCTCGCAGATTCGGGAATAGAAAGCTTGCTTTTTCATGAAAAAGTAAAAGCTTGGACATCCTGGTAAAGCAACTTCATAATAGACCTGAGACCAAGATACCGTAGTTGAAAAGAATTGAACAACCACAAACCACATCTCAGGTTTATTATGGTGTTACTTTTTTTTTTTTTCTCTATTCAATGTATTGGAATGCTTTGCACTTTTTTATGAACGTGTGATATGTCACGTTATGTTTTCCTCAGTGCTTTACTGTCTCTCTTTGTGGTGGTTGATTTGTCTAACGCCGCCGTCTTGTTCCTTCCGTGTCCCTGTGCCGTTTCTCCCTTCCTTCCTTTCCCTCCTCTCTTTCTCTCTCCTTGTCTCCTCCTTCAGGCAGAGCAGGCTGCACGCATCAAGGCGGAAAAAATTAAGATAGCTTTGGAGAAAATGAAGGAGGCCAGCATTCAGAAGGTAGAAATCACCTTTGCTTCGTTTTTTTTTTCTTTTGGACTTGGATTGCAAGGTGGACATTGTATTGCTCGTATTTAGGCACGAGATTTGTTGCCCTTATTGAGGGACTGTAGACATGATATTCCGACCGAACCTGCACGTCCCTGAATTTCTCTTGTTTCCATAAGTCCTTTGTGCATGACTGTGTTCAGAGTTTCAGTTAGTCAAGTTTAAGCTCCACAGTTCATCGAGTTATTCAACCGTTTCATTTCTTAAGAACTAACTTCCCAAGAGTCGAGTTATTAAGAAGATTCACTTATGGAAACATAATCTAATTGTTATTTTGTCATTGAACTTGTCAGATTGACTCTACAAACTCCTCATAACACTTTACTTACAATTAGTTTGTTTGCAAGGCAAAGCCATTGACAACGTAAATAACAAAAATTGCCAACTCTCTTCCTTGGCTCTTCTACAGCGAAACCTTACTATATGTTGTAGGCCCAGTTGTATTTAAGTATGTACTGTACATACATGCAACAGTTTGAAGCAGGGGCTACAATGTACCACTGTAATAGCCTATAAATTGGGTCTGCGTGCTATAAACAGGTTTCATACACTTACTACCTCGTCACAAGTTGTGGGTTACGGATAACACTAACTGCATCTGTGCACGGAGTCGGGGGAATTACGATGCCTAGAAAAATATTTTTATACAAAAATATGACCTAAATTGAGACTGTGTATGCAAAGGGATGTGGTCAATTCGTCACTTGGCAATTCGTCACAGCGGAACATAGGTCGTAGGATGATTCGTCACAGGGGCAGCCGTTGCACAATGGTTCGTCCCCTAAAAAAAAGATTGTTCTATTCAACGACGAAGAGATGCTGCTTTGCGACGGGTTTCCGTATGCATGCAACTGGAGAAACTCCGTACCGTCTTATCGGATTTGCTGCAAAAGATTTTAATATAGAAAGTGGAACAAAGAACTGGTTCGTCTGCCTGTTGGATTATTACACTTTCAAGCAACCGTACACCCTTTCCGGGGGTGACGGAACCAAGACTTGCATAATGAGAAGTCGTCTAAAGAGCGGGTGTGTTCCAAAACCTTTTTTATGTTTAGCATTGACAATATTTGCCTTTTCGGTGACGTGTTCACGCTGCAGCGGAAAACCATGAAACCCCTCATAACATTTATGGGACACTGCTTCTACCGTTAGTGATGCCACCTAGCCTTAAATGCCCAATTCGTCACCGCTTTGGCATCGATGAAATGAAGACATCACGGGCTGAAGATGGCACCACGTTTACAAGTGCATTAAGAAATAAAATAAACACGCTGACTGCAGCAGGATGATACCCTTCATTGCTGGATAGTACGACAGCAGCCGCTGCATTTAGAGCCTAAGGGCAGTGGGGCCCAGAACACCGTGTTTTGATATCTTGAACCTCTTATATCGGAGTAGTAAAGTTTCTTTCCCAAGTATTTTCTATTCCGGGTATATTTGTGCATAGACACAAATTAAAGCAGTCTGAATCAAATATCATGTTGTATGCATGCAAAGCATCATGCTCGAACAATTATGCACATCCTTCAGCGGTACATCAGTTGACACGCATATTAGTTTTTATTAAAGCATCCCGTCCTATTGTTCTAACTAATTGTCAGGGAACATGGCTAGTTATTGAAAACTGTGGTTTGTAGTTTATTATATTCTTCGCTGCACTTCCGATGTGGCCAACTGTCTCATGACGAGTCGCCCCGTGATGAATCGTCCTTTTACCAGTCGGTCTGCGACGAATGCGCATGTGATGGATCGTCCCCATCCCCCATGCAAAGTACCGTGATCAGTATTAAGTTTAATTTTCTCTACCTTGTTGCTTAGATCACAATGGTTGACTGTCTATCGGTTCTGTGCAAAAGGAACCACCAGTTCGTTTACTTAAAGAAAGTGGCCTCGTCCGTGAAAACGAATTTAGCATTTAACAAACTTTGCAAAGAATGTGAAGAAGTACTAGTCACGTAGGTGAGCTGGTGAAGGTTAACCATGATGAACTACACCTTAGATTGGAGTAAGAAAAAGAAAACATTAAAAGAATCGAAGAGACAGAAAGAGAAAGAGGACAGGGCTAACGTCTCAAACTCAGCTGGTGCATTTATTTTGTCAAACATGGTTAAGGTTGTGCACAAAAAGTGAGGGATGGAGGAGAGAAACACATAAACAACAGGCAAGCGCTCTGTAAAAGTGTGCTTCTCTGTTGTCTATGTCTTTTTCTCCCATTTCCCCGTCTTTTCGCGCGCAACCTTAACCATTTTTAATCAGTATCTACTCGCCTAACTGACCGCTTTACTATAGTTAATTTGATTTCACACCTTATCTACCCATAACATACATACATACCACCAAATGCAGGAAAAAATAAAACATACTCAAAGAAACAGAAAAACCAAATTCACAATTCTTTGGAATAAAAAGAACAATTCAAAATTTTTGTCTTTATCTTTAAATGAGTCACCAACCTCAAAGCCTCATTGAACCCAAACCTAGTACCACGTGGTGCAAAGCTTATCTCCTTGCTGTGACACATCAAACTTTAGAGAGACAACTGGAAACAGCGCACAAATAACGAAGACGAGGGATGTGTAGACAGGACAAGCCCTGCACTTCAATTGTATATTTAGTAAAACGAAAAACATCAAACTAACTATCCACATCACTATCGCGTCGACACGTGCTTCAAAAAAGCCACCTCATTGCCATGTAAGCAAACCAAAGTTTGACTGACGCATTGTTGCACCTTCCTTTCCTATATCAAAAGCTTCCAGCAGTTTGCATGCAGTTTTATCATCCCCTTTCCCCAAAATAGTGATACGGTCAAACAGACAGTTCTTAACCAACCCTGGAACCATGATGCAACAAAGAAACTTCGGGCACACAAGAGGTAGGAGAAGTGTCTGAAGTTTTCCTTGTTTGTTGCTTCATGGTTCCGGGATTGGTTAAGAAGTGTCTCTCTAAAGTTCAATGTGCCACGTCTAGTTAATAAGCTGGTGCTAGGTTTGGGTTTAATGAGGCCTTGAGGTTGGTGACTCCTTTCAGAATAAAAAAAAAATATTTGTTCTTTTTTTTTTTCCGACAGTTGGCAATTTTTTTTTGTTTCTTTGTGTTTCTTTTACATTTTCCTCTGTTTGGCAGTAGGATGTGGATACGTTAGAGGTACATGAGACAAAATAAACGCAGCGGCTGAGTTTGAACATGTCGTGCCTTGTCCCTTTCTTTCTGTCTCTGCAGCTGTCTGATGTTTCCCTTTTCTTACCACAGTCTCGGCTATAATTCATGATGGTCAAAGAATGTGGCTTCCGTTTACTTCATCCTGCTATCACACTGCAATGCCCTGTGGTATCATTGCAGCTACCTCACTACCTCCACAGCAGAGATTCTAGAATTTGACCCGGGGAGTTTTCATCAAGTGACTACGACCTAGTGTCGTCTGACATGCGAGGAAACGTGGCGCTTCTGCCGGCGCCTTTTCCAATTACTGCACGCAACCTATCGCAGCGCTCCGTAGAACGGGGCTCCCTGTAGCATGTGAAGCTGTTCTAACCCATCTTGCTTTTTCTGCACCTCTTTCTCCCATGGTGGAACTTGTGGTGCTTGTCACCTCCTATACTAACCCTCTGTGTTGTAGCTATACGATACTCGACGCGACAATCATGCATTGTCTCCACTCGCATTCATCATTTCACTGAGTCACGAAGCGGGCTGTGGGTTGACAGGTTTGTAAGGCCCGCTTCCAACGGAGCAATTTCACCCAGCAACTTGACGTCGCAACACCAGCAACACGGCCAGACCGCTTTCACACGCAGCAACCAAATTGCTACGACTTGCCATCATCATCATTCACTTTGAATTTTCTTGCACCATTTAGACGTACAGCTACGCGCTAAAAGCGTGTTTTTATATCTTTGAATGACTTTGAGAATACTAACTCATCTTTCTGAAAAGGTTTATTTCGAAAAAACGATCGATTTCAAACCAGAACCCAGTCTTTAGCTGTCATCATCACCACCACATGGGTGTCGCGTGAAAATATTACGTCCCTGATTGGCTGCTGCCGCTTCAAGTGGCTCCGAGTTGTTCGAGTTGCTCGTCCGTTTCGAGCCAGACCCGATCTCAGCAATTCGTGTCAATCTAGGGAAAGCTAGGGAACAACACACCAGCAACCTCAAAATTGCTGGAAAAGTTGCCCCGTCTGAAGCGGGCCTAAATGCCTCGAGCTTGAATTAATCTTTTTCAAGAAGAGTACGCAAACAATGAATGGGTACAATGGATTAATAGCGCCGACTACCATCAGCGCACATTGGTGTGCTGCAAGTTTCAGGGGACAGCGTGCGGCTGCATGCACCACAGACCCTGCAAAATCACTACATTTTTATTATTGTGTGCACATTGCCGTGAAGGACAGCGGAAGCGAACACTTCATTCAAGCGCCCAATATTAACGTGTTCCAAACTTGGGAAATCCTGCAAATTGCACGTTAAGCGTTCGATTTGACCGGACAAGCACCCATGTCTAGATTAACACAGTTTTCAGTAAAAGTGGAGTGAGCGCTCCCCCAGTATTTTACGGTATGTGCAGCTTGTGAGGGTATGTCAAAAACATAAGTTATGCCTTTTGAGCAAAACACTAAAATAAAAACATATATATACTCATGTCACAGATGTTTGGCCTAGTTGTCTAAGGTCTGTAAACACTTGTCAAAATGTGTCATTAACTTCTCAGTACCTGTACGTAAAAACTTCCCCACAGTTTTGTGTGGCCAACTGAGGACTGCAGTTTTCACAAGACAATATGGCTGAAAAATTCAAGTGCGAGTGTGGGGATGTGTACTGCATATCCCCATCTTGTCCCGTTGCAACTACAAATATATTATAGGGGAGGCTACGTAGACAAAGACCACTACAAAAAGAGACACATCCCATCACGTGACCATGTCATGGTATGTGGTCATGTAAATTCCATGCAGGATGAAGGATATTCAGCCAAACCAACTTTTCTCTCCGAGTTTTATTTTTCGTCACCCCAAAGCAAGCACACCTAAAAGCTTTGTGCATAACAAGCGGCATTGCTTCTCACCATTTTTTTATGTGTAATGTGCACGCTGTTCACTGGGATTTGCAGTGCATTAAAAAATTATATTCGCTCAGATATGTATCTTTTGTGCACCATAAATATATGCGAAAATCATTTGTTTTGAGCTTGCTTCCTGACCAATTTTATTTAGAACATCCAATTCAAAGAAAACTGCTCCTTCGAAGAAAGTATTTTAAACACCTCCTGGATAGGCTATGCATGCCACAAAATGACCTTTTCCCGAGAAAGCACCAAATGGTTATTGACTCAACATTAATCTCGCAGGACGCATTTCTGGTTTGGAGTGATTTTGCGTGCGCACGTGTGCTGACTCAGAAATGACTCTTATTTCGTGTCTGACGTCACGACGACGTCGGAATACAAGCATCTTTGTAACGCCTCCCACTGGCCGAAAGAAGTGCGAAGGAGAGATGCTCCCATTCTCACGTACACGGCGCTACACCGTTAGTGCGAACGAGCGGTTGCCGCTTTATCCCGTCGGTCTCTTAGAATCGAAGGGCCGTCGCAGAAACTATTATAGTGTCGTACTAGCAAGTGAGGGGCACTGACCCCGGCAGTAAAATTTGACGCCCGCCGTTGTGCCTTCGAAGCGGATTGCAAAAAGTGCCGAAGTCGCGACTGTGAAAATGATCTTGTGCGGTGTACCCTCACATACTCTCAGCCCCTCCTATGTAACAAAGGCGTTGAATTTTCCACGTCACCCGCCGGTGTCCAGCACAGAAGTAAGATTGGATATGAGTGCTGTGTCAGTGTGTCCGGTATCTGCGTCCCGTGCTGGCCTCCGGTAGGTGACGTAGGAAATGCGGCACCATGGTATTATTATCTAGGAACTGCCAACACCCTCCTCCACATGGAAAAGTCATTTTGTTACCATAATTTTTTGGACTATAGTTTGCAAACTACCTAGTTTACGCGTCTAAAATTTTAATTTTACATGGCATGGACTGTCAACAGGTGCAAACTATATGAGGATTTCTTTCTCCCAGATGGTTCATTACTACGAAACATTGGGGATTTTGTGAATGGCAGGTTAGGTTAGTGATGATTTCGGTATGCTTCGTAGATTGCTAATGAGGCGAGCCTTGTTCTAGGTTTGCTGTTTGCCAGACTATAGTCTGTCCAATGGGATACTTATATATGTCCTATCCAAGCAGCTTAAAAAAAACTTTTTTTGAGGGAGCTTTTTTAATTGGATGAAGACTCCTTTGTCTGTCGGTCTCGGCTATGGGACGTTTTCTCCGTGTTGTGGTCCTTAGCGTGTGGGTGGTGTTGCATGCTCGGCAGCTGTTCATCAAGGCATTCAGCGCGGACAACAGTGCCAAGAGCCTGCTGGTGGACGAGCGGATGAGCATTGTGTACGTGATGCGGCTGCTCGCGGACAAGAACCACGTGTCCATGGACCCTAAGTGGGCCATCCTGGAGAGCATCCCGCAGCTTTACATGGGTGAGCGAGGTCTTGTTGACTTGTTGAAACGACGAAACTTTGCCGAAATGCAACTCTAGAAATGGGGACTTAAATGTATCTCAATTCCACGGATAAAGACTGAAGGAAGAATGAAAATGTAGGCAAGCTGGTGAATACGTGGCATGACTAAACCGGGAACAGAGAAGGAAGAGTAAGTCACGTAAAGACGGGGACAACACACATTGTCTTGTCTGCGACATGACTGCACCTGTCTCGGGTTCATTCGTGCCAAGGGTAAGATTGGGAGGTACAGAATGTTCACTGGAATGTTCAACGAAATGTGCAACATGTTTTGAGTTCCCGTCACCATTGGGGCAATAAAGTATTTGTGGCAGCACATACCGAGCACAAGCGCGCTATCCAGAGCCGCTCCACTAGTGCGAGGGTTAGGGTGTCGGGTCACTCGGCAAGAGCTCTCGGCGGCCGATTCCCACCAAGAGACACAATCTTTTGTAAGGGCAACTTCTCCTGTTATCGCATTTTTGTTACCACATTTCTTAACGCTTGAACCCCAGCCCTTGAACACGTTCTGCACTAAAACTCTCAATATGTTGCGCACTCCCCTTTCTTTCGTTCATGCCTTTTCCCTCTAACGATGTTGCTTGTGCCTTGGTCGCTGCAGAGCGCATGTACGAGGACCATGAGAACCTGGTGGAGAACCTGCTGCTGTGGACAAGAGACTCGTGCAACCGCATCCTCTTCCTCGAGAGGGAGGAGAAGTACGACCTCTTCGTCAACCCGGAGGTGAGGCTTTGCTTCTTAGATGGGGATGCGGAAGTGCGAGGGAAGGCAGATTCACCCACTTGCATCTGGCTGCAGCCGAGTGCGTTGTCCAGTCTTGCGACGAGAGAATGCTCTGGCACAATGGTTTCATCTATTGTACACTGCTGGAACACTTCTGATCTGTGTGCACGTTTCCTCATTTTACACATGTCATGTGTTCACCATATGCCTTAAAGGACCCATGAGACGATTTTTCTACTTTCGCTAAATACTACTTAGAATCACTTCCTAACGTTAATAACTGAAGGAACTCTCCTTAGTTTTTATCAGGCAATGGGAGTCGCCAAAGAAATTTGAGGAATATGAGCAACATTCATCCCCTCAACTCGGAGCCAGAGCAAGCGGCCACGTGGCCCGGTGCCTATCTTATGCTGCCAACGTTGATCATAGCCATGCACTGGGGTTGGCAAAGTAGAGGACACGTGATGAGCTCCCTGCATTGTTAGAGTTCGGATATTTTCATCACCGCAGTGGCTGAACACGAGCCAGTACCTAAGTGTCCGCCGAGGCACTGATTGTTGCGGGCCGAAGTCGAGTGCTCATGCAGTTCTCGTGTCCAGTCCATGAGCTGCACTTGACTGTCATCAGGTGGCTGGTTTCGATCCCATAATTACGCTATCCAGCTTTGTGAAGGTAAAACGGAAAGAAATAGTCCCCTTTTATCCTCGCAATTTTACCGCGACAAAGAAGCTTCTGAATCAGTGGCAGTCCGTGCGAGTATACTGCCCTATGCATTTGCATTTTTACCTAAGCGGCACCGGCTCGGTCACTTTTTGCCAGCCTGGACTTCTGCCGACTCGTGGGTGGTTTGTACACTCGCATCTGATTGCAACCGAATGCACCGTGCAGCCTCAAGCTCGCCTACGGCGAATGGAAAGCCCGTATTACAGAAAGTTCCTAACTGTTTGACCGGGGTCGCGTCGTTTGTGGGCGGCGTTTGCTAGTATGCAAGCTGTAACGAGGTTACAAACGTGTCGTTCGTCCGCGAGCGTCTCCGCCTTTCCGTTGGCTTTCCTCCTCCCACGCAACGATGCAGCACATGTGCACCAGCAATCAATCGGCGTAGGAGGCGTCTGCCATTAAATTACAAATGCTCTCCGTGCTTTGAGTCACTTGCATATATTCCCCATCTTTCTCGCGCATCGTTCTTGCACCATGAGCTTGAAAAGCTGTTGTCAATGTTACGAGCAACCATTTCTCGTGGATTGCGCTTATATTTGATCTCGCAAATGCCACGAAATTTTCGCTCTAGCTGAAGGCAGTTCCAGGGCTGCCTCATGGATGGCTCCGGCGTGCCAGTCTGCTCTCTTGGCGCAAAGCTGTGCAACATTTTTGTTTGCAACCAAATGCAAATGTGGGAACCAGACTTTAAGGGATGACAGAAACACATGGGTTAGAGGTCCGCGCATTTCTGTTGTCTGCCAAGTCAAAGGTTCTCGAGCTGTAGGTTCCCCAAAGTGCCCTCCCCCTAACTCTACCAGTTTCCTGCAGTGTGAAAGTATGCATAGCAGGAAGCCCACCTCCAGGCACATTCAATCATTGTACAAAACAGAAATGTGGCATTACTATAGCTACTTTAGACTAAAAATCTAACAAATGGGACTGTGGCTATTCAGAGAGTCCACGCTGTATGCTGTATTATCTTGAAATGCCGTATGCATAAAACAATTGCAATTTCTCTCGTAGTTCAGATATAGCAATATATGAACACGGCAAGCATGCTGCTGATCTCAGCTTTTTCGTTATAACTACGTAGGTTCGATTGTATAACAAATATTTCATTTCGTCTTCTTGGTTTTTTCATAGAGGTGCTCTGCACTACTCAGCCAACACGGGTGAAACTTTAAAAACTCTTTGTCTGCAAGAGAACTGACCAAGTGTTAATGGTGTTCCTCAGCTCTTTTATTCTGCTGCAACGTCAATTTCAGTAGCTATTGCTATCAGAAATCTAATCCAGCAATGTAGGTGATACCTTGAATCTACTCTCGAGGCTCATTACTGAATTTCATTGGCATTTTATGGCGATAGTTGTAGGCTATTCCCACCTTTGGGAATGACGTCCGTTGTAGCTGTTGATGCTCTAGTTGTTGTCATTGTTCATGTTGTAGTTGGCGTTGTAGGTCATCTGTCGTCGACGTGGCCAAATCCTCGAAAAAGATTGTTTGCCACCTGTGGGAATCAGACCTGGGTCCGCCGCGTGCTAAGCGGAGACGTTACCACTGAGCCACACCACAGCGTTAACTAGCCGCTCTATATTTAGGGTTTTTGTAGTACCCGATGTTCACTGCACGCACTCCCTGGAAAAATAAATAGCCGATAACAAAACGCCATTATAGCACTCTCAGTTCCAAAAGCTCGTGCCGGCAGACGCGCTTTCACAAGCTCCTGAACAAAAAAGAAATAAGAGAGTTGAAAGCAAAATGGTCAGACATCTATTTTTGTTCCAAAAGCTTTTGTTCGCGCACACCCCGGTGCGCGAATGCGACGCTGATGCCCGATGACCTCGCCGTGACGTGTTGCAGATATCGCCGCGACCGTCCTGCAGATTAATGCAAGACTGCTCCGTTCTTTTTCAATTTCTTTTATTTAAGATGCTTTGGATGTTTGAGCGGCTCCTTTCCTCCATAGTCGCCCCTGAAGAAGAAGCCAAACATGTTTCGAAACGTTGGGCCCCTGATTCAGGGATTGGTTGGTCGTCATATTTTAATAATAAGCATCCATGAGCATTGACCAACGTTGTGAGGGCCTAAAGTAAACAAATAGTGTCCTCCCTTCACAGGTCTACCTGCTCGGAGGCTCCTCATCGGAACGTGGAGCTGAATTGGATGACGACTCGAAGATGGCGCTGATCGATGTGAGCTTGGGAGCCATTTTGACATCTTTAGTAGGGAATAGTGATTTTCAGTTCGAAGCAAATAGTTCCTTTGTATGAATAACTTCAAACCGAATGAAATAATCCTGAAGCTTAGCGAATAGTTTGTGGCCATCAATTGTCACAATAAAAAACCCTTCAGACTGAAAAAAAAAGAAAAAAAAAAAAAAGAACAAGCACAACAAAGTTTGAACGGATCTCTACCATGATCGTTCACCAGCTTGCCTCCCCAATTACTCTTATTTCAATACAGTTGTGTCTCATTAATATGGACACTTCTGTAGCCCCAAAAGATGATCCATAATGAGAATCATCTGTAATCAAGGTCCAGATCAGAAATAGTGAGCAAGAAGCGTAACCACAAAAAACAGTTTATTTAGGGAACAAAATTTTGTGATTCGTTTGTGCAGACACTTTGACGTTAGCTATGCGCCAACAAGCTGAGGGAGAGGAGGAGACGACAGCGCACGCAGAGATCAGAACGCCGAGCTTTGGTTGGAATGATTAGTGGGTAGACCCAAAGCTAGCAGCCCTTTGCCTACACTGCACTCGTCGAACGTATTGGAGCGTGGAACGCCGGCGTCTTGCGTTTAGTTTTTGCATTCTAACGCATTTCATTCGAATCAGAGCTCGACGTTCTGACGTCTGCACGCGCTGTAGTCTAATCCTTTTTACCACTTTCTCTTCGCATTAAAAACTTATTTCAAAATAAATTTAAGTGATTAGATTTGTTGCACCTATTTTTATAGCTACTTGTGGTCCATCTGGTCCATCCTTCGTGAACTCCTTTCAAGTACATACTGTGTGCTTTTTTTTTTTTCTGTTTTTTTGTTTAAATTAAGTTATGTTTTGCAGAATTGTAAACTTCGAAATAAGTCGAATCTCATTTATTCGAACTCGAGTGAGACTGAAAATTTGTTTGAATTACCAGGAGTTTCCTCTCATGGAAATGCATAGGATGGGACCTGACCGTTAGTTTGAATTATCCACAAGTTTGAATTAAGAGAGTTAAAATTAACGAGATTCAACTGTACTTCACAAATATTCGAAGTTGCCAAATATTGATTCAAAGTGAATTGAATATGGCATCTTTTGCTTTGATATTCGAAAGTTTCGAACATTCACACAACCCTAGTCTTTATTGTGAAAGTATATCGACCTCAGCTGTTGTACTGCTTCAGCTGTTGTCGGATACTTGTCTCCTTGCCTTATTTCTGTATTGAATTATGGGGCCCCCCTGGCCTGTGTCTGCCAGGAAACGTTTTTGCCAGTGACAATATTTTTAGTTTAGTGCGCAGCTACATAATGTAATGGAAAGCACCTTTTTTACGTGAGAGTTGTCCACGAACGTTTTGGGACAGTTGTACCTTTGTTCTTGTACCGTGCTCCCTGATGCTGATTCTGAGACACGGAACCTGTGGTTATGTAGCTGCTCAATCTCTGGTGCAGCCAAGAAGTTTCTCGGCACTCAAACCTGGGGATGTCTCGGCACATTAGCTGGGATGGTAGCCACATTGGCAGCCAAAGTCAACACTGGCCGCGTTTGATTTGCTCACACTTCCTGCACCGGTGCAGAAAAGTGTATGGCGATATACTTCCGGTCGTATCTAAATACACATACCGGAAGTAGACTACCCTACACTTTTATGCGCTGGTGCAGGAGGTTTAAGTAAATCAAACGCAGCTACTGAGGCAATGAATGGAGTGCAATTAAACTTCTCACAAATGATCTTTAAGGTGGTGCATTTATGTTAGTGTTGGGAAGTACTTTAAGTATATTGCAAATGAAGTAAAGTAGGTTTAGAAAACTTGTACTTTACTTTTAAGTACATTCTTGGAGGATGTATTTGTGCTTTACTTAAAATACTTTTCCTGGTACTTTCCGAGGAAAGCTTTACAACTCCTGACTTCAAAGGACATTCCCCAAGCTTGCTTTTGTTAAATTTGTGTCCCAAAATGATGCTTTCTGAACTCTGATGAAGTAACTGGGAAGGATATTCTACTCCCACCAGAAACGCTTGCAGAAAATACATCGCTCCGTTTTTGCCGGGGGTGCTTTACCACAGCACTTCGAACTCGCTACTCCTCGCTCTGTCAGGGCAAGCGAGGAGCTTAAAAATATTAGAAGTGGACATCCCTCCATGAGAGGATTGCTTGCGGAAGCTACGGGGCTGACGTCATGCTCTTTCCGCTGTGAAAGATTGTGTTAAGAAGTTTGTGTAGTTTCCTTTGAAGGTACATTTACTGATAACGCTTTACTTCAAGTGTGCAACAAATGTGCCCTTGCTACTTTACTTAACATATGTAACCTCGTATTTTTTTTGTTCTTTACTTCGAGTACTACTTTATCCCCCTCATATTTCGTGAGTCTAGGTTCTTGTCAGAAGTGCAAGAAAATCAGAACTATATTTTCTCTCCAAGAGGAAAAGCACAAACAATCTGCCTGGTTGACACTGGTACTCACATGTTGTACCAGATATGCTCGGATCTACTAAATCTGCTTTAGGGTGTTGATTTGTAAGAAGGTTTCAGGTTTCTGCACCATTTGATGGCATAGATGAGTAGCAGTGTCCACCCGATCAGTTCGCTCCTGTTTTCCTCTCACGCAGAGAAAATAAGCTTTTTTTCTTGTACTTTCCCCCAGAAACTTACACTTGAGAACTTTGAGTATAATAAATGCATCGCCTAAAGACACCTTTGTTCAAAGTTTCATTCCACTCTGTATAATGATTCATTTGTAAAAATGTTTTGCCGCCTAAGTAGTGCTCAGAAACACCCCGTAGCGCCGAAGACGTGCTTTTCCCCTAAACATGTGGCTGCGCCATGGCAAAGCAAGGTTTGCAGGATTGTGGCATTCGCTCCGTGGGTATAACTTCAGTGCATCGACGCTTTGCATGAAGTGCGACAAACGGGTGTAACTAACCTGCCGTTACCGTGACTTCACCCACACTTTAAAAGGTATCAATATTACTGTTCATCCCGAGGCAAATTTCAAATAGCGTATTTTATGAATCTATCGTTAAATTATTTTGTCCCAAGCAGAGGTTCAAATAACGCGTTATTCTAATCTTCTCTTTGATGATTCGCACAATTTTGTTGAATATCGTTTCAATTCCTGCTGACCATCGAGAGAATTTGGGTGCCGGGGGTCTGTTTTCCAGCAAACTGCTTGGTCCTTGAGATCTCATTTTGAGAGCACATGTTCTGCAGTTTCCCTAACAGCGCACATAGTCCCATGGGGGTCTCCAGGAGGTCGTAACATACCGTAGACATCCTAGAGACGACCGTTGGATGACCTGTGTCATCTGGGGGCTGATTGACACGCTTGCATTTGGTTTGAAACTGCGTGCATTGTGTATTCTTGTGTTTTCTTACAACGAGAAAGCACACCGACACGTTGGCGCCATCTATGAGGTAGCCCTGGAACTGCGCTTATCGAAAGTGAAAATTTCGCAGTATTGGCGAGATCAAACGTACATGCTGTTTGTGAGGAAATGTCGTTTGTTACTAGGATTCTGTGTTTTCCGAGTGTATTTCTCGTGAAATTCAGAGAGTGTTTTTTGGAGTTAATTTTTCGCTAAAAACTGAAGGTTTTTCATAGTTTGTTTTTGTTGGATTGCTAATTCTCCGAAATTTAGAGCTTATTTTAGTGTGAAAGCAATTTATAAAAATTCAAAAATAAAATAAATGAAGTCCGGACACTGACCCCTTGTCCTGAAAGAACCTTGACGAGCTAAAAGGTAAACCCCTTTTGTCTGTTGTTCGAAATTTTGAAGGAAACTGAAGTGGGATCTCCTCGGGACCTGTGGTCACGTGCTCTTATAAAGTTTATTTGTAAAACGCCGTCTTTTTTGCTTTCAATTTTGTCATCACGACCTCGAAATTCGGAGTTCTTCGGATTTATCCAAAAACATATAATGCTTCTTATAACATTGTCGAAAGTTTCTCAAGCTCATGGCGAAAGACTGATGCGCAAAAAAGATGGGGCAACATATGTAAATGGCCACTGTTTTGGGGCTACCCAAAAGGTTGCGGCAGCGTGTTCTCTTGACATGACCAAGCGCAAGGCCTGCCCAAGGCACTCAGTCGCAACGAAACGCAAGCTTGCAGACCAGCCATTTACTGCCGCAGCTCGAGCTTGAAAACGTCCCTCCTTCCCTCGCAGGAGTTCTTCTCTGGGTCGAGCGTGGGCGTGCCCGAAGTGGAGGGCGTCCTCTACCTGAAGAGCGATGGCAAGAAGGCCTGGAAGAAGCACTTCTTTGTGCTCAGGGCGTCGGGCCTCTACTACTGCCCCAAGGGCAAGTCAAAGGTGGGGTGTCTGTCGTTCGGCCGCCTTCTCGCTCAACAAGGGGCATCCTCTTTGTTTGGACATGGGATGTTTTCCTGTCTGTAGTCGTTCGGTCGATTAATTCCTCATACCCCCGAGGCAGAGTCGTCCTTTTGTACATGTTCTCGGTGCTCAAATACGCAGAATGGCACTGTCCAGTTTAGAGGGGGGGGGCGGGGGCGGGGGCGGGTGGCGGGCGGTGGGGGGGCAGCTGTATCCTAGCCAGGTACTACAATGAGTGCTGGAAGAGTTGTCAGAAATACTGCAAAGTTCTCAAGAAACACCCGCCATTAATAAAAGAAATAACAAAAACAACCTCAACAGCAAAAAAAAATAAAAACGGAGGCACGCTTGAAAGGACACATTTTGGGTGGCAGCTTGCACTTTCCGGCTGGCAGCAACATTGAAAACCATCCCAGATGAAAATAAAAAAATAAGAATTACAATCTATAAAAATCTACAAAATAACTTTTATGTTAAAACAGCTGAGACTGGGTGTGAAAAAACCTTGAAACAGCCAAAAGTGGGAGACACAGGAAAAGAAGTAAGTCAGACAACGTCTTGATGCTGCCGGCGTTTGCGGAGTGATCAACGAGAGCAGCTCGTCTATTTTAATGAGTGCGTGTCGTTCTGCGCTCACCGAGGTGTTTAGAGGAAGATCTCCTCAACCGACCTAGCTTGCAGCAACTGTCTCAAGTACACGCCTTTGTTGTTGTTGAGAACAAGGTGGACAAACGAATTACTGTATATTAAGAGTTCACTTTTATTAACAATTTTTATTCATGTGAATCCTGTCATACCAGAAAAAAAGCACTTCGATATTTTTTTTGTTAGTATAAAAGTTTTAATGGCACTTTTCAGGTTCTGATTTGCTCGCAATGTGACATTACTTTTCTCGTTTTCGTTTCTGTCTCTCAGACTATGATTCGCTGTTCATAAAACCCTAAAGCTTTCCTTCTACTGTCCACTTCAATCGCCAGTTACGGGGTGTAACTGGCGATTGAAGTGGACAGTAGAAGGAAAGCTAAACGTTCCAATTTCCTCAGAAAACTACTTTTTGCTCGTGTTCAACCTGCTACAATATTTCTAGCTCGATAATTATTTGATTCCGATACAAAACAATTGCGCAGAGAAAGCATCAAATGAGAGACAAACTTTCAGTAAAATATATTTTGCATATTATTTGTGAAAGAAAGGTTTGATCATTGCAGCAGAACTGGTGCGATTGAAATCATTACCGTATTTACTCGAGTTATAGTCGCACTGTTTATGAAGAAAACCTGAGGGTTCGCTTTTTTGCGGGGCATGCGGATTGCCAATCATCTCGATCGACAGCATGATTTCAGTGGTTTACAGAACAGGGATAACGTCTTCGTGCGAAGATATTATCTGTGCAGATTGCATTTGTATGGACAATCGTGTTCTCGATCTGGTCATTCACTATGTTATTTATGCGCAACGCAATGATTGGCTGTATATTTGTTCTGTGGGAAAGTAGACGCAAGGGCGTTGTTCATAAATAGTGCAGCTATTACTCATCGTAACTTAGGTCACTAGTTAAATCATCTTGCTTTTTATTCTCCACCCTGTCCGGAACGCAAAGTTTTGTCACTGTCGGCTATGGGTGCAATGTTCAAACTGGCATCCTATGCACATGCCCAGTTGCTCAAATGCCACTGTGTTTTGTTTTTCCTTACTATTTTTAATGGTCGCTGAAAGGGCTGGTGGAAAACAGAAAGTCAGTTACATATGCGACGATAAGGATATGCCGACACACGTCAAGATTGACTTGCTCTGCTCGCTACAAAATTAGGTGTACAGAGAAGTAACTTTTCTTTTTTTTTTAATTTTCAACATTAATTTTTTCATTGGTGCACATTTTGTTGAGGCATTTTAGAGTCTTAAAACACTTCCTAGTGGACTGCAAAAAAATTGTTTGATCAGGGCAAGTGCAACGACTGATAATGCCTTTTTGCAGGAGTAGATAAGACGGGAAGCGACTTTCGCGCCGCAGTCCATTCTATATAACCTGAAGCGAGCTCGGTCATGTTAATTAGCGTTTGCATCTCTTCGATCGTTGCAGCTTTCCAAGGACCTCGTGTGCTTGACAACTTTCGAGATGAACAACATTTATGTGGGCTTTGGCTGGAAGAAGAAGTACAAGGCGCCGACAGAGTACGGCTTCGCCATCAAGGTAGGCAGCCCCTCGGCTTCCCAAATATGCGTCTCGAGATTACTCTCATATCTGCTCTTGCGTAGCAGTGTGATCTACGTTCTGTCTTGTTTTCCCGAGTGCTTACATTATCATTTCATCCGCATTCACTTTCATTGGTTGAATCCCGAAACCAACTCTCAGCCTCTGGGACAAGCGAGCAGTTGCCACGCCTCCACTTCTCTCCCATTATAATAGATAGTATTCTCACCATACAATTGTCAGGTGTGAGGTAAAGAGGATCTGCAAAGATGCTTGGTTGAAACATTCCTCACTTTGTTTTTGCTCACTGGCACTATAGTGGGACGCATGTAGACTCTGGCTGACGGAGTACAGCTGAGGAGCTTCATTGCTATGGCCTAATTTCAGGGATAGAAGCATACTTTTCTGTTCAGTCTCTTTGTTGCAGAACTTGACGACGTACCATATTTATACAAATGTAGGTCGAGCCATTTTAAAATTTTTAAAATCTGAAGGGGAGGGGGCCAACTTATAATCGAACCGAAACACTCCACCGCCAACAAAAACTAAGCAATCGCGATATCAGGAACACCTCGGCTTGTTGTAAGTTTAGCCGGCTGTACCTGTAGCATTGCGCTATTCTGTGTGCTCATTTTGCAAGTTTTTTTTTTTTTTTAATTGCATGATCCAGTATTATTTATAGCGATTCGCAAAATAACCCGAATGTATGGCAGTCGACAGCGCACAATGCGCTAAACTCCCAGGGGTGGCAGCACTTCTTGTGAGAGCCACTTTGGAGGACGCTGGAACAGCCTCATGGCTCACTCTCCCTGCAGCTTCTCTTCAGTTTTTCGCACGATACACGGTCACACGTCGTTTGATCAAGTGTGGAGATCATGCTGGAGCACTAACTACGTTTTTTTTGTATTGATACAAGTGATTTGGGAAGGTGAGGTTTTCAGTGCTCTTTTATGGCCATTCTTCACCCAGAAGCAACCAACAGCTGCGCTGTTGGACACTATTTCGACCCGTCGGAGCGGGTGATGCTCCAGTGGAGTCTACAATAGCGCGATATCTTAAACTGTGACAGCAAACGAATACCGTAAAATACCAAGCAAGTGCCCCCTCCAAATTTAGAGATTATCCAATCAAAATAGGCAGGGGGCCCTTACTCGGTTTGGGAATAACATTCAAGATGGCGGCCATAAAAATGTAAAATTTTCATAAAATGGGAGGGGGCGCTTGCACGAGGGGGTGCGCATGCTCGGTATTTTACGGTAAGCTTTCAGGCCAAAGTCTGGATAGGTGGGGGTGCCTTCCGGAGTTGGAGGGCAGGCTTGTAACGTACGCAGCAAAAGTGTGCAGTCGGTCTCTACCCATGACGTGCAACGCGATCGCTGAGCAAGCGAGGAAGATACGGTTGATGCTGTCACTTGCGAAGTGCAAGATTTTGTTGGACGACGCCGACGACATACTTCGAGAAAGTAGCAGTGATGACGATGGGACTGACATCACCAGTGCGCACGAGTCGTAGTCTAGTTGCGGACAAAGTGAGAATGACAGGGAGCAGTTTCAGTTGTCTCGCCTCCAGCGTGAACTTCCTAGTTTCAATAATGCCTGGGCATCTCATGCACCTCGCGCGTGCATGCGCAGCCAAAGCAAGCCAGAAGGTATCGATCGCGTGTTGGAGGCTGGGCTTTCGAAACAGATACTTTGCCGTTCTCACGTGTTCGCAGTAAAATGCTCATGTAAAGATTTTTTTTTTTTGCTGATGTGCAATATGGGAGGGGTCGATTTACAATCGTGTAAATACAATAGGAATGGGCATTGCAGTTTTGACACTATCGTGGGGATTTCTCCGTTGAGACGAGTTTTGAATGCGGATCATAGGTTGGACACGGGCACTTAATGAGCACTCGATTCGTGTTCGATCGCTGCAATGACAGAAATACTAGCTGAACCCCAACAATGTCCGGAACTCAGCATGTGCCCTCTGCTTTGCCAACTTCAGTGCATGACTGTGATGGACACGGCATATAGTTGCTGTCAGGCCACAAGACCGCTTGTTCTAGCTGCGAGTTAAGTGGGTGAACGCTGCTCGTTTTTGTTTTAATTTTTAATGACTGCAATTGCTTGGAGAGAAAATTTATCAGATGTTTTGAGGGTTATGAACATCAAGGATTCATTCTAAGCAGTATTTAGTGAAAGCTCCAAAATTGTTGCATCGTCCTTTTAATGAAATCATTGTCGGTATAAAAGATGGGCTGTAATGCCTCCTGGCAATGCTCTCAGTTTTGGAGCATGCCTTGGAGCTCAATGTGTTCATCAAAGTATGAATCCATCGAAGTCTGAATCTCGTACTAAAGTGGGCACATTCCCAGCCCCATCTTTCACGCTTCTCCAACTTCAAGTCGAGTGTTTGCTTCTAATTCTCTCTAAATGTGCGCCGTACCACAAGGGCTTTGCTGTTAATGTGCGCATCCAAATAAACAATTAATCGAATCGGAGTCTGTACGCAATGCAGCTCATTTGAGTAGCCCCTTCATTTGCATACCCTTTGATTTTTTCAAAACAAGTTAATTCACTCTGTTTATAAAAAACACAAATATTGCAGGTAATTTTTGTCGTTTTTCCCGGGTCTCTAGAGAATAAGCCGTCCAAACGTACAATATGAATAAACCGTATACTGATTCAGTGGGAATGAAATTTAGAAAGCCACCAAGATACGATAAATGGATGAGCCAGTTTATGAATCTGGGCCTCCTGATTAGCGGTCAGGTAGTCCTGACTACTAACCACGTAATCCTGATTCCCGGTCGCATAATTCTGATAACCACTACTCAAGCGACCCCATTCTTGGATCTCAGCTCAGCCAATTATTGCTTCTCGGAAGCTTTCTAACTTTCAGTCTTACTCGATCAGTGCAGTTCATTTGTCCGTTTATTTGGATGGTGAGAAACACATGTAAACTTGTGGAGGCGGGCTGACTCCCGTCTCCTTTGACTTTCGCAGCACCCCCAGATCCAAACCAAGTCATCCAAATACATCAAGTACCTGTGTGCTGAAGACCGGCAGACTTTGCGACGATGGGTCACCGGATGTCGCATCGCTAAGGTGAGTGGAATTCGGAAGAGCTGAGATTTCTTTGAAATCTGTGTTTCTGGTCTCCACTTGGGCTTTTTGCAGCCAGAGATTCAGTACTTGCATGTTCGATTTAACCATAGCTCGCACTGTACTGTCAGTGGTGTGTGATGAACAGCGATCAAGTTAGCTCTTTTGGTAAGCTTTTATTGCATTGGATTTATTTATTTATTAATACTGCAGTCCCTAGCTGGGATTTTAGCACGTGGGTACGTTGCTGCAAGTAGAACATGCTGGCAAAACACAAACAAAGCATACAAGCTAACGAAAAATTTCCATTGTGATAGAACTAATTTAGATGGGAGGCAAATTCTGGCAATGATGGCTGCATGACTACTGTATATTGTCGCATATAAGACGATCCGAATATAAGTCGACCCCCCTAATTTTAGACAACCACCAACCCAAAAAAGTTTTTTTTCTTTTTTAATAAGCCAGTTATGCCACATGAATATCACCTTTAGGTGAGGTCTCCCTATGGGCTCGTGTCTCACTCCTCGTCGCTTCTCATGATGGCACAGCCACTGCTGTCGCTGTCTCGTGGGTCACAAGGGCCAGACGGGGGGAAGCGGCTTCAAAATCTTGCACTTGGAGAACGATGCACGGACCATGTCTGCCGGCAGCCCATACCAGGCACCGTTCGCCCACTGGGCCACAGTGGTCAACGAGGCACGCTTCACACGACCTGCCGGCATCTTGGGGTTGTCCTCCTGGGCCATCCACTCGTTGTAGAAGGCCCCGATGCGGTCTTTGAAGGGCATATTGAGAACCACGTTAAGAGGTTGAAGGATGGACGTCATTCCCCCGGGATGACCACCAGATTGCATCCTTCATTCACGATTGTCTTCTTGACACGGTCTGGGATGTGTCCACGGAAAGAATCCGGGACGAGCATGCTTCGGGACTTTAAAGGGATACTGAACCGAAATTTGGATTTCACAAAGTAAGGCTGCAGAAGTGTTGAACGGGACGCTACGAACTCCTAAACATCACTCGTACATCGATATCTCAAACGGCCAGCCGTACTTTAGGGAAAGAAGGGCACGATCAAGCGAGTTCTTTGACGTAACTGTCCCCTGGGAGAATTTGAGAATGAGGAGAAACGGCCTCGCTTCTCTCCTCTTCGCTTCGGTTCACCAGCTTGACGGAACGTAGCAAGGAGGAGAGAGAATGGGAATCGTGACGTGCCTTGTCTCGTCGGCCGGGTTCAATCGCGCATTTCTTTTCCAAAAAATACGGCGATCCGTTGGATATATCACCGTATCAGCGATATTTTTTGGTTTTGCAGCTTCCCGCTTATCCACCCGGCCTTGTTTAGTGAGCTCGAAATTTCGGTTCAGTATCCCTTTAAGAGGGCACCCAAATGCCTACACCAGACGAGCTGAAACCACCCTAAAACAATCTCATCATTAAAAAAGCCTTTCTTATTGATGCAAATGATGGCCTTCGGCAGAAACTTTTCATTGGTCGGCGTTGTCTTCCACTTAAACACCAGGTACGGGGGCAGCTTGTGGTCATCGGCCGTGCAGCACAACTTCGCGGTAGAGCGATTGTGTTCATTCCTCGTGGTTAGCAAGTTCACCTGGCGACAACCCTTTTCGGCGACGATTCTTCTGCTCGGCATGTCGAACCAAACCGGCGTCTGATCGGCGTTGCCGATCTGGCCGAGCATGAAGCTGTTCCGCATTTGGAGGTCAGCAACATAGCGATGAAACTCTGCAGCTTTTCCTCGTAGGCATCCGGCAGATTCTGGCATACAGTCATTCGGTTTCTCAGGCTTAGCTCGTTGCGCTTCATGAAGTTTGTTATCCACTTCCTCAAAATATTAAACTCACTGCAAGCAATGTTCAGTTCAGTAGCGACTGCATGTGCCGTGCACTGAATATCTTCGTACGAAACACTGTGGCTTTCGCTTCGTTGGTCAACGACCCACTTTCAGACAGCCTCTTCGACGGCAGGATACTGTCCCTGCTTGGGCCCCCAAAAAGAGTGTCGCATACCCGCGCGTATGAAGATTTGATTGCATTGCCACCGCCATCCTCTAACACAGTTCTATGAGACGCCGAAGTACCGCTGAGCTGCTACGTTGTTTTCCGCTTTGGCAAAGAGGATGACTAACATAGAAGTTTGGGCTAGTTGGTATTTCATGATTAAAACTTAAAACAGCGCAAGGACGTGGACAAGAACAAAAAGGTAGACGAAGAGCACCTTGTTTGTCTACCTTCTTGCTCTTGTCCATGTCCTTGCGCTGTTTTAATTTTTAAAGAAGATGACTTTCCGTTTGAACACACCGCTGTACTGGCGGCAAGCTTGCAGTGACATTTTCGTGATCCACGCAGACTTGACAACGAGGGAAGAAAGAAGCAATTGCAACGATGATATGTGCGTTTTCTTATCAGCGTGCCTGGGTACAAAATCTCACATTTTCCCTGCGAAGTTCTCGATTCAGTATCTCAGGCAATGATGAACACTTTTTCGTGCCAGTATAATATTTCTCTGTTGTTTAAATATATCACTAGATCTTAAAATACATTTGAAGTTCCAAAATAAAGTCATCCAGACATTGTCTTAGACTAGGAATACAAAACTATCTCTTTATGTAGGGAAAAGTCTCTCGAACCCTTCATTCCGCTCGGAATGCCGCTAAACCCGCATATAGGTTGAACCCCCTAATTTGAGACACCCATTTCTGGAAAAAAAGTTTGTCTTATTCTTTACTACATACGGTATATCGGTAGTAAGGTTATTTTAGTCGTTTACTGTTAGCGGGAAAAAGGAATACATAAAGCAGTTATTACTCGAGCGAAAAGCAATTATTGTTAGGTCATGACTATGCCGAGTAGCACATCCAGAGGATATATCCTCGAAACAAATCCTGATCGCTGCGCTTGACCCATCAATTACCCGTACAGCTCTTTTGGTTGTGCGCCGAGTGATTTCCAGGTCTTATATTATTGGCAGCAGCTAGTCGACCAATGCTTTGTGACATTTGTCATTGCTTGTGAATTCAGTAGTTCCTCAACAGGAGAGGTCAGCATTGTAGGATCTGTACTTTTACCAGCCTCTCAGTTGTCACTGTGCAACACTGTTGTCGCATATACAACAGCCGTGTTTTTTTATGTTTCACTTGAAAACTGTCTTTGAGGAAACCAAATTTTGCTGCTTAGCCTAATTCACCAAATGAGCACTTCGCACCCCACTAGTAGCTTTGACGACAGCCTTTTGATTGTAAGAGAAACATAGACTACAGAAGCAACTGTTTCTGTACGCTAACAGCCTCGTGCTATGTAGTACCTTACCTGGGTACACCTGATACAATAAGTCGGTGGTTTACAAATATCTTAACAGTTGAGCGAGAAGACCCTCATTTCAGGACCACTACTCAGCTCAATAGTTACAGTTTATGTGGTGCTTCGGTATGTAGAGATGTCTTTGGTGTTGGAGCCAGCAAAGTTGTGGTGCTAGAATGCTTGGCAGGTATCTGACTCTTCCTATTTACAGCATGGGTGAAAACATCGCACAAAAGTGTGGTGTCTCTACTGAATATGACTAAAAAAAGAATTCATTGCTCCCATTTGCAGTATGGCCGCCACCTGAAGGACAACTACGACAACCTGATGCGGGACATCGTGGAGGAAGACCTGGAAACCCTGGCCCACGCTCGGAGCTTCTCTATATGCTCCATGGCCAAGACACTGGCTGCAGTCAGCCCCGAGAATGGCTCTTCGGGGCCCTCCAGTCCGGCCTCGGACGGGCTCGGAGGACTCCGACCGGAGCGGAGAGGAAGCCAGGACTCGGACTCTGGCCTCACCATCACAGCCAGCGACTTGGACCCCTCTCCTCCGACAGGCCGGAGTGCGGGCCTCGCGCGACAGGAGTCTGTGGCCTCGAGTTCCAGCGGGAGCAGTGGGTTCCCCTCGGAGCGCTCCGATGCCGCGACTCCAACAGACCAGCAGATCGCCTTCTTCGACGCAGACCTGCCCGTGGGAACCATCAAGCGGAAGCCGTCCATGACCCCGAAGATTCCGCTGACCAACACAACGCGGACGCTGGCGAAGCAGTCGGTGGACGAACTCCCGAACGATGCGGGACTCTACGACACGATCGGAAGGAAGAGCGGGGCCCTCCTCGTCGGCAGCCTGGGCCGCAATGCGGGCGCCCGAATGAGTCTGCGCCGCTCGCACACGGACGAAAGGATATCGGCCTCGGCGTTCGTCAGTGGGACGCTCCTGCGCAGCAGACAGGGCAGCCTGCCATCTTCTTCGGCCGCGGCAGAAATCAAGTGCCGCTCTTTGTCGCCAAGGAGCAGTCGAGAAGAGACTCCCGCGAGCCCTTCTCCGCCCAAATCGCCTCAGACTCCGCCGAATCTGGAGCGGCCGTCTCCAACCGAGCTCTCGCCGTGCCACTCTCCGGAGCGGCAGGACAACTTGGCCGGAAGCACGCTGAGCCTGGACTCTCTGCCACCGCCTCCTCCGCCGCTGCAGCTCGGAGAGGCCTATTGGCCCAGCACGTCCAGCCTTAACTCCCTCCCTCCCCCTCCGTCCCCCTTCACGACCCCCACAAATAGCCCACCCCCTGGCAGCGCTCACACGACACCCACCAACAGTCCGCCCGCCGTTCCGCCGAAGCCAAAGTCGCCTCGGTCTCCGATTTCCCCGGATTTGTCTCCAGTTTTCTCAAACCGGTCCTCGACGTCCCCGCAAAGATCCCTATGTCCGTACCGGAGGCCCTCGGAAGTCTCGGCCGGCTCCATCTACGCGGACCCGCAGCTTATCGTGGATGGCTACGAGACCCTCAAGCGGCGTAGGGACACACAGTCAGTGGCTCCCCCACCTCCACCTCCCCCCCCTCCACCTCCACCTCCTCCCCCTGCGGTGAAGAGAAAACCGCCCCCGCCGAAGCGGAGCGAAAGCACGCGTTTGTCGTCGCCGGCGCGGCGCTCGTTTTCGTCTCCGGCCGGCCCGGGCCAGATCCCCTGTCCGCCCGACGTGTTCCTCAAGGACCTGCACAGGGTCATGGAGAAGAAGTGGAAGGTAGCGCAGCAGCTGTCGTCAGAACCGCTGGCAACACCGCACGAGATCCTGGGGTTCAGGGACCCGCGCTGCCTGGCGCCAGAAGAGAGCAGCGCGGACACAACGCTGCGACGCAAGACAGCGCCACCGCCGCCTCCGAAGCGGAGTGACGCCACGCACCTCTCGCGGAAGGTGTGTTGATGCTGGGAAAGAGAGACTCCGAACGCAACGCCTAAAGCGCAGGCCGCCATTCTCCTCCAAACGACGAGCCGGTCTCGGGAAAGTTCGGAAGGGCGTCGAGCGCCGTTCGTTGTGGATTGTGAAGGCGTGACTGTCCACAGCCACCTAGCCTCGTTTGTTGTGTTACACATTTTTTTTTTCAGTTGAACTTACGGCCAGCTGAAAGTGCAAAGAAACGGGTGGAAGCTGTGTGCGGCATGAAGGCTTTAGGGACTGACACGTGAGGGCTAGTCTTGCTTCTAACGTGGAACCTCCGCATTGAGCGGCCACAGTGCTCTAGGAACTGAAGTGCCACGCAGAGGCTGCTTGTTTGCCTGTTTTGAGGTGTTGTTGCACGCGACGACAGCCTTGTCATTGCTGTTTCTGCAAATTGGATGTCCACTTTTCCTTGGGGAAGCACCGTGGGGAGGAGGTTGTCGTTGGTACCAGCGCCATTTGGAGGAAAGGCGTGGTCCAGTTTTGGGGCATTAGGTTAAGCCCGTTCACCAACCCAACCGATAGACAGACCAAGTTGCTGGTTGCGCAGCCAGAGGGTCATTGGAAGGAATGTGTACTCGGTTTGGGGGGTGATGAAATACTTTAAAATATCCTATTTAACTAGATTGTATGCAACTGTGTGTGGAGTGCCTGGACTTTTGGAATGAACAAAGGAGCACATAGTGTTTTTCGTGCTGAAAGTAAGGATCTTAATGAGCTGGCTTTTGAATGCTTAGAAGGAAACCAGATGTTCACAAGATCGAAAGCGCATTGGATTTTGCCGGATGGCTTTTAAATGATAGCAGTTTTTTGTTTTCCACAAACACTTTATTCGCTCTTGCAATCTTCAAAATCTCGAAAGAATTTTTTGTTTTTACTTTGTGCCATGGCTTTTATATTGAGCTTCAGATCTCTTCACCTGCTTTTTTTTCTGTAGCTTGTTTGTCTTTCCTTATTTTTTGCATCATAATGTGAAAAGAATAATACCAGGTATTGAAGGAAGCTGTCATTTATGAAAAGTATGATGATCTTGCTTCTAATTGGTTCTTAAATGTGGGAACTTTTTTAATATCCGTTTTGTCAGCTCTGTCTTTGATAAAAAAGAACTTTAGGAGGGTGCTAATTGACTGAAATCTTGCACTTAATAAGTAGCGTGGCATCAAGTTTAAACCCATTTGGAGCTCCATTTGGCTTGCAATTCTTTAGGTTTTATATGAACTTATTGGAATGTCATTAGTCATGACAAAAAAAAAGAGCTGTTTCCTGGTTAATGTATATGCCACTGGTTTGGCTGGAGCTGTGGGTTTGTGCATCAAGCGATTGCTTTACACACAACTGTATTGAGTGGGTGCCTTTCTCACATTTAGTTTATTCTTCACTCTCTAGTGTGCCATTTCCTCCCAAAGCTTGTGTGTTCTAGGTCACATCATTCTTCTAGGTTCAATATACTATCTTTAGAAAATAGTACCATTAAAAGTTTTTGTTACAGTTGACTTCAAATGGATCTGTTAGAAAACCTAGTGCATAATTTGAATAATAGTCGGTTTACGATTTATTTATAAAATTTATCTGGAAAGCCTCAGGCATGAAAACCCTTGTATTGACATGTGCAGGTATTTGAAAAGATTGCTTGGTGTGAGTGGAGAATGTTGATGGAATAGAACTGCATGTCTCAATATGCAAAATCAACAGCACAAATATTAGCGAGTCATTGTGCACATTTCCTCATAAGTGTCCGTGAGCTTGTACATACATGTTCTGTGTCTCCTAAGAAATTCCAGCTATGGTTAGCTCCAACAGTTTTTGACGTATAAGTTTCAGGAACAAAGTCGTGTATCTTCCCTTAGTAGAAAACAAATTCAACCGCATATCACCAAGTTTTAATTTACCAATGCTTCATTATCCAAGAACTCCTTAGCTTAGCAGAAATGAGTGCAGAACACTAGATTGTTATGTGCAAGCATCTATATTTAGGCTAATCAAAAACTAAGATTAATTAATTCTTCACTACTGACAACAAATACTTAATTTTAAATGATAGCAGCACTTTGTTAGTTTCATTTAAGGACTGCTTTAAGGGAAACCATTTCTTGCCGTTGTGCAAAAGATTCCAAAGTTTCTTTAAGCTGTCCTTTCACATGCTCACTCAGAAAAGCAAGCATGACTTGCCGGATGTATTTGATCTGTGAGGAGCAGTCTGGTTTCCCAAACAATCTACTCAAACCCTTTCACATCTAAGGTAACAGTCATGCAATGGCTACGGTACAGGCCTCGAGATGTTCTATCTATATTTCCTTGTTCTGAGAGTTGGGTCACTTTTATCACTGTTGTTCTTGTTGTGAAATTCCTAAGCATACACAACTTGCCCAAAGAGGAATGGTGGAGACAGGTTTTCTTGAACTGCCGTGTTTGCTTTTTCTCAGAAGCGTGGCCGGTGCTTCAATATGCCTGATCATAACGCATGGCTGACTGCTAGATGTGGAAGCATGTGTTTCAAGAGACGCTGGACAGTTGAAGGTATTTGGGAAAGGCAAAGGGGACATGCCGCAGCACTTATCCAAAGTTCTACAGAAAGAGATCATGTATTTGCTTTTAAATTTAGATTGCACAGCATAAACGTGAAATCTATACCAAAAATTAGGCAAAGTAAGATCCTGGATGACCTCTCCAAGCAGACAATTACTGTAAGGAAACTTCATAACATATTGCCTTGCCATCTCTGACACATGCTTTTCTGTTCTATGGTCCATTCATTTTTTTACACGGGTGAAATCAAAAAGTGTTTGGTCACTTTTAGGTTGCCATTGCTGACTGCCATTTCGAAGCGTGCCATAGTGCTTCCAATTTTGTTAGAATCTTGTTTCGCAAACTTGTTTGAGGATAACTGCTTTAATGGCTGTGTCCATCGAGAATGCCACAACAGCACAGACATGAATTGTTATGACCGCCTTCGCAGCTGCCACCGACCGACGGCATTTAAATGTGCAGGATGTTTTGCTTATGGAGGCAATATTGAGTACTTTCTGTCAGTGCCAACACGAAAAGAAGATGCATCAACCAATAGCAAATTTATCTTGGTCTCGATTCTGTTCACTTTTCTGCACACAACATACAGGATGTCGTTCCAGCTCCTTTTTCTTTCTGTAGGGTAGATCGGGGATGGCATGCATGTCATGTATCCAAGGCCGCTGTTTCGCAGCCACGGGCGCTTGGTTAAATCTTGGAACTCTTCCGATTTTCTCAATGTCGTCTGGTCCTAGAACATCTAGAGAGAAATTGAGCGCAGCCTTTTGGTTTCCCTTTATTTTTGTCTCATTGTATACTGGTTAGTTGTAACAAACTGTATACACAACTTGACTTTGATACCTTTGTGGTGGCAAGCCGTTCGGGTATGCTACAGCGGTTCAAGACGTAGTTCACCTGTTGGTAGGGGTTTTCCCCTTGCCGGACATTCTGCCATGCATTTGAGGCCCCTTCCCCTTCGTAATTGCCTTTTATCGTCATAGTTTGCTAGTATTTCTGCTATTTTTATAGTTTTATACTGCTCCCTTTTTTAATTTATGATGGAACTGTTTTTCTTTCTAAGTGAGAGACGCCTGGACATTTGCTGTGTCAACTCTGCGTTGGGGACATGTCGGTTCGGTGTGGGGCTCCTGCGTGAAACGGCAACGCCGTGCGAAGAGAGTATTCCGACGTATGCGATATCAAATCGCTGGGTGACAGTGTGCTGCGATGTGCCTGAAGCTCTGGTAAGCTTGTAAGACACTCGAGAATAAAGCCAATGACATGTTATCGCAGTCTTTGCTTTTGTTGGTTCTCGACAAGAGTCGAATAAGTGCCTAATCGTTTGGTGCTTTTTTTTGCATATGTGCCCTTGGCTGGGCGCTACAGGATTCTGTGTTATCGGTACATACCACCCTGAAAATTAACCCCCGAGCTGGTTTTATCAAAATGGTGAAAAACCAAACCCAAAACTAAAAATCTCCTTAAAAACAAAACAAAAAAAACAAGCTTTACTGATGTGTTTAAAGAATTTGTTTGGAACCCCTTGCTTCTTTAGCTGTACCGAGACATTATCTAATGTCAAGTGCAAGTTCTCTGGACGTTGGGGAACCCATGTCCTGCTTTCTTCAACATAAGCCCCTTATAAATGCCCAGTTTTTCTCCAAAACCAAAAGTTAACACCGAATCTAAAACAAAAATGAACTCCCAAAACGCTCTCGAGCAGGCGAGCTGGTGAATGTTAACCATGTTGTATAAACCTGAGACTGGGACAGAAATTAACATATAAGTCGAAAGAGCAGAAAAGGACAAGACGTCGTCTGTGAATCAGCCACCACCAACACAAAGGGGCAACATCTAACCAGTTCAACCGCCAAACCCTCCAACCAGCGACCAGCGACACAAAGGGGCGACCTCTGAACAGTCCAAACGTCAAACCCTCCAATGGACCGCCCTTCAGGCCGACTCGCAAAGATAACTCTGCAATCTCCCCCCAAATTTAACAAAAGGATCAGCACCAGGCACGTAGCCAGGGGGGACATGGGGCCGCCCCCCCCCCCCCCCCCCCCCCCCGGAAAAAAAAAAGAAAAATCTCCCATTTTGCTGGGACCTCTTCACCCCTTGTCATGGGCGGGCTTCCCCCCCGAACCAAAATCCTGGCTACGTGCCTGATCAGTACCGGTTCTATTCTAACCAAGGTTCACATAAAAAACGGTGCCCTCTCCACCGCACAAAAAAAAAAAAAAGCGCCCACAAAAAAACAACTTCCTTCCCCCTTCAAAAAAAAAAAAAATCATTACCCTATGCCAGCAATGAAGGGATGACACACACTGAACCTGGAAAACGGGGCAAAGGTGTTCAGTACACACATCCCGTACTAAAAAATGAAAGACGTTTACAACCCCATGCCTCTCCTCCTCCTCATCTACTCCTCGCCTCCACCCCTTTTGTCTTCCTCCTCCTTCTTTCTCCTCCCCTGCTACCTCCCTCCCGCGCGGTGCATTATGGGAAACGTCCCATATTGCACCGCGCGGTTACGCCGACGCCGACGCGTCACGAAAAAGCGTTACGCCGACGCATTACGGTTACGGTGACGCCGACACCGCTCAAACAATTATATTCTTAAAAAAACTTTTGGAATTTCTGCGTCAGTCTCAGGTTTATTCAACATGGTTCTCAAACATCCCTGTCTTGAGAATATTTCGATAGCCGGGGGACCCACCCATACATCGCAGCATTAGCGCAATAAAATGGTACAGAAGCCTATGTGGTGAGAAAGTTGTCTGCTTCTAGCGCAGGAGTTGCAGTGACGTCACAACACGTCGTGCTCTGATTGGCTTTCATTGAAGGGATAGTGGGTAGACCTCAATGCTAGACGCCTTGAGGTCTACCCACTATTTTCTTACAGTGCAGCTCTTAGGCGCCCGTCTCCGGCTTGCGTGGCGTCGCCGTCGGCGTAACCGCGCGTTGCATCATGGTACGTTTCCCATAATGACGTCACGTCACGAGGGTCACGAGTGACGTCACGCGTAACCGCGCGTTGCATTATGGGACGTTCCCATAATGACGTCACACGTACGCCACGAGTGGCGTCACGAAGGTCACTCGTGAAGGTCACAACCTGCACAGTGAAGGTTACGATCTTCACGAGTGACGTTACGAGAGAGGAGGAGGAGGGGGAGAGGGTACGGAAAAGGAGGAGGGCCATACCCTCCCCTCCTCCTCAAGAGCTGCATTCTAATTCGGCATTACAAGTAAATGCAAACGTCTTTATTTTTCTTTCGATCAGCTAACAACAGCTTGGCGTTCTGACATCATCGCAAATGTGCAAAGAGGCAGACGAACTTGCGCTCCGTTGCTACAGGGAGCATGTGGCACAGAGTTGTGAATCTGTAGCTGGATTATATGTGTTAAAGGGGCCCTGCGAGGACTTTTTTTACTGGTTTTTAATTTGCACCGAACCTGAGCGCACTGAACGCAGTAACTTAATTTGAAAATTTATAGGTAAATTAATATTACAAAAACAAGCAAAAAATAACCTCCGTCATGAATGGCGTCCTTGGTTGCTTGAGTGGTCGTGAACAAGAGGAGCGGTAGTGAGCTCAGCGAGCGCTCACGGCTGCCGCACTCCGTGTTGACGGCTTGAGAGGGCGCCATTGAAGTGTGTTTTTGGATAGGCTGTATGAAGCGGGTAGCCAGGGCGGCTAGCATTGCATTTGCTGCGCGATTAAACATTAATTCGGCATGACACATCATTGGTCACAAACAACAGCAAGCACGGGGTAAAGATAAGTTCAGAATGGGAGCCACTTCGCGCTGCCATTCCGCCAAAGGACCAAACCGCAAGCCCAAGCTGCTCGCCGAAGGCCTTCGGCACGCTCGGAACCGGTCGGATCCTGGACTGCAGCACCGCCGCGTACATCCGGAACCTTTCTACGCTCGCCGCTCGTCGGTGCCTGATCCCACTACACCTTTCTAATATGCGCCGCCTTTTCCACCGCTTGGTGGCGGGTATGTCGACGGGAGAAATACTAAAGAGCTACTTTTATAAATAATTGAAACGGCTCGCGCCACTTATATTTTGTCTTTCGACTAAAAAGAAGCTTTTGGTGGCTCTGATCAGTAAAAAGGCCAGGACCTAAAACGTCACGATGTCGTCACCCACATATTACGCGCTTTCGGCACCGCGGGTCGCCCCCGTAGGTGGAGGAGGTTTTCCCGTCGTCCGGTTAAAATATTACGCACCGATATTTACTTACTCTTTCCGTGCCCGCTGGCTTGTCCGAACTTAGAGAGACGTGGAAACCGTAAAAAAGGTAGACACTTAAAGGGACACTGACAGGGTATTTATGCTCGCCGAGGTTTTTAGTTGTACGTGACATATGAGAGCTCAACTACCCAGAACAGAATTTGCGGCTCGAAATTCGGTTTCTTTCCGCCCGAAAACCGCCGATCAAGAACTGGCCGGTTCGAGTCTCGCTCACTCTCTTTTTCGCGGTCACGGACCGTTTTCTAAGGTATCGATGCGACCACCAAATTTATTCAAAGTCGTGGGTCACTGAAGGCACACACTCAATATTAAAAATAGAAAAAAATATGAAACCCATTTTTTGCGGCTTCTAAAAAGCTGCAAATACGTTGATTGAAAAAAAAAGTTCCACAGACAACCGGAAACATTCTGTGCGTGCGTCGTTTCGCGTATCGTGGGACTCGCGGGGACGGCGATGGCAGCGGACGACGGGCGTGGGACCTCTATTTCAGAACTGTCGTTCGCGGTACCGGCGAATTTTGTCTGCCTTTAAAAGAGAAATTTGGGACTGGTCAAAAGAATTGGTATTCATCCCGTACGACACGCCCGACCACCAAGCTGATTTGCACGAAGACGTCGCCGAGCCGTCGCTCCCTTCTTGAGGTTGAAGACATCGCTCGCGCAAACGTCAAGCGCGACGTGTCTACTTCGAGTTGAATATGCACGCGTACGATTTCTTTACTAGGTGAGAATGTCGCCAATGCGTGGTGCATCCCGACTTCGACCCGGGAGTGCTTTTGCTAGAAGAAAATCGGCAGAAAACTTTCCAACTTACAGTTTATCGGCTGAAGTATTACTAAGGAAAGAGATACAGCAGTTTCGGTATGCCCCAGTAGCTCAGTGGGAAAGACGTCCCCTTCGCACGCGGTAGGACCGGGTTCGATCCCCCGCAAAACGAATTTTTTTTTTTTTTTTTTTTTTCAAATATTTTTTGATGTTTACATTTCTGTTTTTTTTTTACAATTATTACTGAAGAAACAAACAAAAAAGAAATATAAGAAACAAATGTTGTAAACGGCACGTCGCTGAATTAAATGGTATGGGATTTCCTTTTTGACACCTGCGAACTCAATGTAATCACTTTCCACAAAATGCAAGGAGCATATAAATCAGGTAGCGTCCGCTTTCCGAGGTGCCCGTAAATGGTCTACAGGAATTGCAGCCAGCCATTGGTCCCGATCCCGTTGATCTTTCGGAAACTCTGTCGCACAATGCCACTTCTGTTTCGGACGCGGGACATGTGAGCCAGCTCTTCACGCAACATCTTGGGTGTATTCTTTTCGGAGCCGATCAAGATTCACCACGGGCACTCACTACTCATCTCCAACTCCTCAATATACAAAACAACTCATCTTGGAGTACAGAACAACGAGCGGAACATACATAACTGCAAAAGAATCCCACGGCGAGCAGTTCCCATACGCCGCATGTCGTCTGCTACCGGGAAGGAGAAAAAAACAAAAAAAAAAAAAAAAAACACGGTCGGGTGTAGCCACGTGACTTCCGCCACTCACTCTCTTCTCTCCACTTCTCCGACCTCCGTCGGGTTTCGGTTTCGGTTTCGAGCAGTTGCGTCTTTTGGTTTTATTAAAAAAATACGCTACTCTGTTGCAAAATATTAATTAGGTAGTCCTCCGACACCATAATGAAGCGCCTGGCAAAAAATTAAAAAAAAATTTTGGGGGGTGTCAGTGTCCCTTTAAATATGACTGCAGGGCCCCTTAAAGGGCAACTTCGCTTCATTTTTGGTTTCGAAAAAAAAACAATGCAGTCCTCTTCAGTATCGCCTAGGAAAACCACTCGTCAAATATTACGACACAGTTCTGTATATCGTGTTTCTTAAACGGTCCGGCCAACCTTGCAACTCGCCAAGCTCCGAAATCGGCTGACTCGAGCGGGCGAATTCAGGCGCAACTAACAGCGCAGTCAAGGCTACGGCATGGGCGGAGCCAACATTGAGCTAAACGTCTTGATTGTGGCC